AGCACCTGGCAACGCCAAAGCCATGGTGAACCGTACGGACGAACCGGAGCACCGAACTCCCGACCGGGAAGCTCCAACAAACCTCCCTACACCCCAAACCGAGCTTAGGCGGTCGAGTAGGCTCAGAGGCAGCCCGCCAAACGACGAGCAGGAGCCTAGGGAGGAGAGTGAACTCCAAATGTTGCGCAGAATGATGCTGAATCAACAGGAGATGATGCAAAAGCAACAGGAGTCGATGCAAAGGCAACAGGAGACAGTACAACAGCTAGCACAGCAAGTGAACCTCCTATCAGGCCAAGCAAGCACCGCAAACGCACCTGCAACGATGCAGGAGAACCTAGAGCACGAAGCTCAACAAGAAGAAGAAGAGGACCGAGAAATAGACTCTGATGAGGAACTAGAAGAATATGTCGGCAACCTTATAGACACAAATACGCGAATCGGCAGAGCAATCACCCAATTCACGAAGATCACGAAGACGGTGAAGAAGCCTATGACCCTGGCTGGAGCCAGCAACTACCTAGCATGGAGCAAAGCCATCCTAAAGGTAGCCCGCCAAGTAGGTGTTGAGAAGATTATCCTGGAAAGGCAAGAGACTTCACCACGGCCAGAGCGCTTGAAGATTTCACAATACTGGAATGTTCAGAATAATTGGCTACACGGCCTAATCGACAGCACAATATCTGCACAAGCCAGAGAACACTTCGAGGAATCGGATAGCCTTAGTGCCTACAAACTCTGGGAAGCTGTAAGGACAGCCTTCCAAGAGAGACCTGAGATACAGCGGGAAAGCCTACTTGCGGAGTTAGTAAGAATGACACCACAATCCGCTGGCTCAGAAAGGAATTATATAGAGAGATTCCTAGCAATCCGTGGGGAATTTGAGAGATTAGGGTTCAAACAACTGGACCACACCCTACATGATATCTTAAAGATGAACATTACGTCCCGATGGAGAGAGTTCATACAGAACCGATTTGATATGGCATGCCAGAGCGGAACGAACCTACCGGAGAAGGATTTGGAAGGCCTACTGAAGGATATCCTCCACCGAATCCCCAAGAAAGACCAGAAGAAAGGCGGATCTACAAAGCCAAATACAAATGCAACAAGCTCGGATCCCCAAAAGTCTTACAAAAATACGAACTCCGAATCCAATCCAGAGAAGAGCTCACTGCAGAACTGGAACTGCTATATTTGTGGCAAACCTGGCCATTTGGCTAAATTTTGCAAATCTAACAAGAATTCGAAGCCTAACGAGCCTAAGGAAGACTCTAAAGGCAAAGGCAAGGAAACAACTACGGTTGCAACGGACAAGATCCATTCGGTTCACGAAGCAGCCTTTTCTATGAAAGAAGCGCGCGAATCCACAGACAAATGGATCCTTGACTCTGGAGCCGGATCCCACGCGACCTCACGTACGGATCTAGTTCAAATGGACCCAAAGAGCCATGCAACACAACTGCTTATGGCGAACGGTTCGAAATCAGTCACCAGAGGATTTGGCACGGCCAGTATCCAAACTGACAACGGAGAATTGAGCATTGGGGGGGTTAGAATCGTGCCTGACCTCCAGGTTAACCTCATAAGCTTTGGGAAGCTTATACGAGACGGCTTTACAGTGGAACAGCTTTATGTCGACGGAGAACACGTCTTCCTACTAGAATCGGCAGATAAAACACAGAGCTTCGAAGCTGTGCTTAACGAGGATGACATCCTAGTCCTACGAACGCCTAGGATACGCAATTTACTGGCATACGCGTTTCCAGTACCTACGAAACTCCTAGAGCCCTGCTATGTAACAGCAACTCTGGAGAATAAAGATAGAGATGACGCGCTTTTGGCACCGAATCACCTGGCAAAGACGCCAGAAATCAAGGAGGATACGATGGCCAATTGGCACAAACGCTGGGGGCATCTCAACGCCCACGATATAGCTATTCTAGCTAGAGATCCGAGAATGGCAATGCGAATAAAGGGAGTAAAGAAGCTAGGGTTCTGTGAAACCTGTGCTAAAGCTAAGCAAGCTCGCAACCCATTCGAACCTAGAACACGCTCTACAAAGCCTGGAGCTAAAATTTTTATTGATATTGCAGGTGGCGGCCGTACCCTATCCACAGACTCCGATCCTCCAAGCTACGGCGGAGCGAAGTATTTCCTACTTATAACGGACGATGCCACACGATACAGGTGGATCTACCTCCTGAAGGAGCGGGTAGAAGCCCCAGAAACCCTGAAGAACTGGATCAACATGATCGAAGTGTCTACCGAACGAAAGGTCGGCACTATACTGTCCGATGGAGCTCCCGAATTGACGAGCCAACAACTGGCTGAATTCTACAGGAGCAAGGGTATACAACAGGAGATTACGTGCCCATATACACCTCAACAAGATGGAACGAGTGAACGAGGAATACGACTTCTTTGCGAGCGAACAAGAAGCGTACTTATAGACTCAGGACTACCCAATGAGTTATGGGGCGAAGCTCTCGCCACAGTCTCCATGATGGTGAATCTATCGCCTACCTCAGTGCCTCTATACGGATGCAAGAACACGAAGCCGTTGACACCCTTTGAAGCCTGGACGGGTCACCAACCCCATTGCAGATGGGTCCATAGGTGGGGATGTGACGCCTACGTGAAGATTTTGAACGAATCCTCGAAGCTCCAACCTAGGTCCAAGAAGGTCAAATTTGTAGGATATCGTGGCATGCACACCTACAGGCTTTGGGACCCAGAAACGAACAGTATAATGATCTCGCGAGATGTTATATTCGACGAGAAATTGGATCAAATCCCTACGAATTCGCTAACCGAAGCCGAATACGTTGAACTCCCGGAGGAGTACGATTACATAGATCCATTGAATGGCTGGCAACACAAGCTACTAGCTTACCTTGCGAAGGAGAAGCCAGAAATCATGAAGAAGCTCGCGGACGGCGAATTAGAGGCTTTAGAGCCCACATACCTGGGCGAAGAGCAAGAAATCCTCTCGGATGCTACGGAGGAAGAAGAGGCAAATGGAGCTGAGCTTCCAGTGCTCAGTACGCGTACAGATATACCAAAATCCATCGCCGAAGCCAAACGCTCTGAAGAGTGGCTTTATTGGAAGGAGGCTCTAGATGTTGAAGTCTCCAAATTACAAGAGAAAGGCACCTGGATCCTAGTCGAGAAGGAACCCCAAATGCAGATCCTCTCTGGCAAATGGGTATTCGATAGGAAGCTCAACAACGCGGGTGGCACAGTACGATTCAAAGCCCGTTGGGTCGTACGTGGATTCGAACAGCAAGAAGGCGTTCACTACAAGAAGACCTACGCAGCAGTTGTTAGTGGACCTACAACGAGAGCCTTCTTTGCTATCTCAACAGCCAAGAACTGGAAGGTCAGAGTCTTTGACTTCGTGACAGCCTTCCTAAATGGAACTCTTCCAGAGGACGAACGTGTATACGTTCAACTACCCACTGGATTCAAGCACGGGCGGGGTAACCTAGTAGGGCTCTTACGCCAGGGACTCTACGGGTTGAAGCAAGCTGCTAGGCTTTGGTATCAAGCAGCTACTGACTATCTGAAATCTCTAGGATTCCAGATCTCTCCATACGATGCGGGGTTACTCTACCACAAGAGGAAGCAAATCTACCTAACCCTACACGTCGACGACTGCCGTATAATGGGACCCAACGAAGCCGAAATAGAATGGCTCATTGAGAAGCTTCAGGAACGCTTCGAGATCAAGGAGGTTACGGAACAAGGCCGTTACCTAGGCATGCGGGTTCAAAAGCAGCCGAATGGAGACCTTTTTGTGAACCAGGAACAGTATATCGAGGATCTACTGACTGAATATGGAATGGAAGACTGTAAACCTTCCAAAACGCCAATGAAGAAAGGAATAAGCATCGAATTCGCGCCAGATCAGACCCTCAAAGATGGAGTTGACGAGCAGGCTACGCCTACGAATTACAGGAAAGGCCTGGGCTCTCTACAGTTCCTAGTTACGTGTACGAGGCCGGATATTGCATTCGCAGTCAATTATCTGGCGAGATTCAACAGCAGGCCCAATAGGGAAAGCTGGGCGGCGTTCAAGCAGATCCTACGCTACCTCAAGGGCACAAAATCGAAAGGAATAGTCTTCAAAAGGGATATGGATCCTGAAGGCTTGAAACCGGCGGCCAGTTCGGATTCTGACTGGGCTGGAGCCGACCCTGCGTACAAATCCACCAGCGGCTACATTATTACCATGAACGGAGCTCCAATATCGTGGAGATCACAGCGCCAGACGTCCGTCTCGAAATCAACGACCGAAGCGGAGTATTTGGCAGCTAGCGAAGCTGCTTGTGAACTAGTTTGGATCAACGACCTGTTGATAGACGCCGGGGTGATTAGCGAAGGCTCAGCAAAGCTAAGGAGCTCAAAATTAAGTGTTGACAACAAGGGAGCGGTTGACTTAGCCAAAGCTGAAGCTATAACGCGAAGAGCACGCCATATTGAGATTCGGCACCATATGCTAAGAGACTGGGTTCAAAAGGACGAAATCTCAATCGAGCACGTTGGAACCGACGCGAATAAAGCTGACGGGCTCACGAAGGCTCTTGCAATGGATCCCTACGCTCAATTCGTGAGCGCGATAGGGGTGACGAGTTGATACAGGAAAATATGGAGGTTTATCAGTGAAGCCAGCGAAAATACGGTATCGCGGCGAACGGAGCTAAGCCTAAAGAAGGAATAAATCTGGATTCTGTAATTAATTTTTATCGCGGATTTGAGAGATTTGGAAGCTTTGGATCTTTGTGGCTCTCGCTCGCTGCTGGAGCTCGTTGCATGGGGGGGTGTTAGGTAATCCAACTAGCACCTCGCTCACGTGACCCACATAGATTAGCCGAGATTCCCCTTTAGGTAGCTTAGTGAATGACAAGCATACAAGTCCTCCATCATGTTTGCTTCTGATAGCCAAGGAGACTCCTTTTCTGCCCGAACATACAAAAGGAGCTGAGGGCGGAAAAACAATGTCGCAAATATTTGATGACAAGTCCCAGTATTGTATTCCCTTCCTGCTGGGGAGATTGGAACTCCACCGTGCCCGATATGCAAGTGACCCCAATCCGCCCCCGTTCTTTCTGGGGTTGAATGGCGTCCAGGGAGCAGGGAAGACAGTGCTGGTGAGTGTAGCTATGGTCAACCAGCCACGTCCCAACTGTAATTATTGAGAAGGTGGAAAGCACATACCTAGAGAATTTTGTTCAATTCATCACTGGGAGTTAAACTATGGCGTAGTTCCGCTCGTCTGCTCCGCCCCGGCTGACCCCGCCTTCCAGGTGACAACTCTCCGCTCCACCCTTTCCGCTCCGCCATACAACCTTCCCACCATAGCTTTCTCCCTCGATGATATTTACCTCACCCATGAAAGCCAGCTCCGTCTTGCTGCTTCTCACCCCAACAATCCTCTCCTCCAACATCGCGGTCAGCCTTCCACTCATGACATCTCGCTTGGCAAGCAAGTATTTGACTCTCTAAGGAAGGGATTGCCGACGAAAATCCCAAGCTATGATAAATCTGCTTTCAAAGGCCAGGGTGATCGACTGCCAGAAGATCGTTGGGAAGTAGTTAATGATGTTGAGAACGGCGGGCGAAAAGCGAAAGTGGTGATTTTCGAGGGTTGGTGTCTGGGGTTTCGAGCGCGGCTACCAGATGACATACGCACCGCTTGGGAAAATGCGGTTCAACAGAAAGCGACCGGTACCTATGATGGCCAATTGGCCAACGTCAAGCTAGAGGATGTGTTGGCGGTGAATGAGGCGTTGAAGGGATACGATGCGTTCACAGAGTATGCCACATCCCTGCTCTAGCCATTTGAACCATGAAACATGGGATGAAGACTGACGGCTCTGCAATTAAGCCAACTTGACGCATTCATACATATGTACGTCCCCATTACCAAACACACATTCCACCAGTTACCTTAATACGGATGTACTAATGTACTTCCTGGTATTTAGCGACACCGAAGACACCCACTACGTCTACGATTGGCGTCAAGAGCAAGAACGCACGCTCCTAGCCACAAAAGGTACCGCCATGACCCCAGATCAAGTCACACAATTTGTCAATGGCTGTCAGTCACACTATGCCTTTTTTTGTTTTAGTGTAGGTCCCTTTTAAGTCACATTCGGCTAACGTGGTCGATAGACTACCCTTCCTACGAGCTTTTCACACCAGCTCTTCGAAACGGAGTATTCAACCCTGCTGGGCGTGCCTTGTGTCCTGGAAACGAACATTCTGCGCTATCATGGAAGGGAAAACAACTCCGACTCATCGTTGACCGCCAGCGGAGAGTGTCTAAAGCTATTACGATATGAGTTCATCCACTCTATCCTATATTCAATGTTTCATGGTGGATCGAGTGTGTCATTCCTCGTCCCCGAGATAGGGTCATAAAATATGACTATATATACATCGTACAACCATGACTGAGTAGAATTGTACATGACATTCGCGGGATTATTTTGGCTCAAGTTAGTTCCCGCGAACGTAGTACTGGAACCAAAATCCAAAGTCCAGGAGAGCAGTGCGCCTTGAAGAAATAGTACTTACAATATCGGTAGACCGCAACCTCCAGCGCTGGCAAAAAGCTATTTCAGTTGTATTTGGCGACAGAATGGGGGAAAAAAAAAAAGACCAAACGAAATGAGCTGACTTGTCAATATATGTTTACCAATCAACTCGAAGACCAAAACCAACCAATGCTTGGGATATCAAAGGCCAACTCATGCACGCCAGTAATGAAAAAAACGAAGTCTTAGAAAAATGAATTCATAGGTGGGCTTTATACAACTGCAGCGCCTTGACGGTCCGATTAATCACCCTTCTTTCTATCCACATCTCCCAACCCACGACCACGTTCCTCGCTACGGGCATTGGACATGTCGGATGTAAAAGGGGCATGTCGGCGAGTTTTTCCGGTCTGTCTAGGCGCTGGTGTAGTCATCCTACTACTCTCTGGCGCCTCACTCAACTCAATCAAGTCACCGTTTCCTCCGATTCCTAGGTGACCATGTGGCTGGATAGGTTGTTGTAATTCATTGAGCCCAGCCTTGGCCTTTGTTGCAACTTTGCGGAACCAGCCTTCAATCGCTCCGCCAATATTTTCCAGACCGGTTGTAGAAGAGGTGGATGCGGAGTCAAAGGACATCCGGTCATTGGGCCCGAGAGAGGTACCTGCCATGTGAGGTTGTTGCGAAGGAATGACCAGATTCGGTAGATGGGTACTAACAAAAGCATTAAGTTTATCAGGTGCCGGTCCAGGGCCAATGGCATTGCGGTCTAGCGTGCCGACACCACCAGGCCCAGACAATACGATGCTGCGACGACTCGGATGAGGAGAGACTTTTGAGCTTGATGTTGATCGGTCACGGAGGCGTGAGGTAGGTGAGTGGGATAGATCTCTTTGTGTTTGACTCCTGGATGGGGACATATCGAGATGAGAATATGGTTCGGAAAGAGTTTGAGATTGTCGGCGACCCCTAGCGAAAAATCCCAAGGTCCTTTTGGGAATTCGACCAAGCTCGAGTGGCGAGGGGAATCCCTCCACTTGTACCCAACTTTCATGTCTCCACATAGGTGTGCTGGCAGGCGCTTTTTCTAGTTTAGAGGAGAAGGGATCGTCCAATCCACGAGCAGATCCCCCATATCCGGAAGCATTGGTAGGAGAGGGAGTTGGAATCAAGGAGCTATTATCCTCAAATGAGTCAGTTGAAGCGCCTCTCTTGGGATTCAACTGGTCGACCTGATCAGATGAGATCCTTCTTCCCTTCAAAGTACACGACGCAACCGGCAAAACAACAACTTTTCTAGACTGCACGCTATCGCTTGGCCAAAACCCATTGGCTTTCCTCAAGATGGGAAGTGGACAACCGTAACGTATAGAAACACCCGTCAGACTGTCAGTAGGCTGCACAACGTGTATATAAACTAACGCATCGCCGTCATCCTGCTCGACCGGCCGCGCTGGCGAGGGAGAGTAAGAATTATCCAGTGAAATTCGCCTTTTATAATTCCCTTGGCTATCGGGGACAGCATCTCCATTGGCCTGCAATAATAGCTCCCTTTTCTTCAACTGTATAACGGCTTGTCGATCTTCCTTTGACCCAGGGAGAATTTGGGTGTCGTTCAGACCAGGGGGTCCCCAAGCCGATGGTAATCCGGGCCGCCTGCAACCTTCATCATGGACAGGGGCAAAGGAATCAGACTCAGAAGATTTTCTTCGCCGGTATCCATTCAAAGGCGACCTATTCCTTGACTGATTACCATCTATCCCCAAAACTGCCGAGGCTAATCCTTGAATTGAAGACCAGGACGAATCCAGCAGATCCGCCGCAAAACCGGTAGACTTCTTCCCCTGGGAACTTGCCCGACCGGCCCCAGCCCCTAATCCATTGGCAAAAGACCCGAGACCCGGTAGCCCCGAAGGCGTCCGAGAAAATAGGTTTCGCGGTGCTGGGGATGTCGCCCGAGAGGAATACGGCGAAGGAGACGGATTTCTCGAGCTCGAAATCGTGCCGGTTGTGGTGGGATGCAATCCCCCCTGTTGTACTACCGTACCTTTCGCTGAACCACTCGCTTCATTTTCGCCATCTTCCACAAACGATATTAACCGCCGGTTCCGCGGACGAACAGTTAAATTGGCAGCTGACGTGGCAGAGCTAGAACTCGCTCCTACTCGACGAGGTGAGGAGGTAGAGGAACGAGAGTTAAATGTACCCAGTGGATTTCCGTCACTGCTCATTCCTATATCTCCCCCAACTACCTTGGTTTTATCTTCCTATCCAATTGGATTCGTAAAAAGCCTGAGAGAGGAGCGTACTCAACGGGAGCTGGGTTGGTAATGATGTAGGCCTTCGTCTTCTTGACAGATGAGCGTGGCTTCGGCATAGGGTGGAACAAGGAGACGATGAAATCCGTTTTGTCTTAGGCCGCGGATGGACAAAGGTATTGTGGTTGTAAGATTTGGGTGGAAGGCTGACTTCTTTCACGCAAATATCATTGCGTTTCAGCATGCAATAGTAAGGTAACGGACGACGGAGAAATAGTCATTGAGGTCGCTGATCAAGGGCCAGGATTCGTCGTCGGATCAGCGTGTAAGGACAGGCTAGCATGGACGACGGTGGCCGCACCGTAATTCAACCGCATCAAGAGCAGCAGGACACCTAGAGCAATCAGACTTTCTAGACAAAATCCTTGTAGAGCTGGACAGCGAGAGAGAGATTAGCTTGAACCCGCCTTTATGCTTCGGCCCGCCGCTGTGCTCGATTTCGGCCATCCTGTTGTCGAGGCGTCATGGCTATTTTAGGAAACCAGCCCCGCTTAGTCATGGCTACTTTCGGACAAACATAATTCCTCCCCCACAGCCACGCGAAGTGGACGTTGGCTGTGTCCCTGGCTGCCACGGGTGCGGGGGAAGGAAGCCCTTAAATGCCAGTGACGAGGGCTGAATGGTATTCAGATGCTAGGAGGAAGGGGACATTAAGAGGCCTATGACATAGGGGAGCGATATGTATTATCATGGCCTGATTTGTCTCTGGACTACAATGGAGCCAGCGATGCGAATTGAAGAAATGCTCTGTATTGTACGGAGTACTTCAAAGATGAATTATATAGGGCTTTTTCATCGCAAACAAACCCGACAGGAAATTTGTACGGGAAGTGTAAAAAAGGTTACATAAGCCAGAAAAAGAAAATAATAAATAAAAGAGGAGAGCTGGCGGTGATATTGGAAAACGATCGAATTTGCGTCCGATAACGCCTCCTAAGACTCCGCCGCAGGGTTCAAACAAGTTCGCCGACTATTAGTCCCTAAACATCACAGAAATCCGTTTTCTGTAGGCAATTTCCAACGAGAACGTCACAGGATACACTATATGAATTACCACGAGCAAGAACATGCTTCAAACACCAGGACACTTCAGACGAGACGAACCACAGCCGAACGAGGGATCAGTTCACATCTGATCTATCCCTAGGCTGTCGATGCCATTAATCCCAAAGAATTGAAACCTAGAACGAGACGTTAGCAAGAACAGACGGTGAGGTATACCATCGAGGAAAAGGATCAAAGGTGAAATGGTGATATGATGGGCGCCAGCGTACCAATCTTCAACGTTTAAAGTCGGAGGCACAACGGGCCCCTGACCTCTCGAACTGTTGCTCCAATTATCATCTTGACTTGAGGCGTCTATGTGCATATTGCCGTCAAACACCCATGGCTGGGTCTGCATCGCCATCCCAGGTTGCAAGTGCTGCTGATGCCCCATTGCTCCCATCCCCGGCATGCCTTGCATCATTGTGGGACTTTCATGCGGTGCACGTGGCCCTCGTGATGGAAGATGTTGCTGTTGCTGATGCATTCCCATTGCCTGTGAACCCATTCCAGTTGGTTGCAAATGCTGTGACATATGCAGCTGTGGATCAACCGCATTTCCAGAGGAGGGTGAAAACCCGGTACCGGTTATATTTGTTCCATCTGGAAACAGTTGATCCGGTTGGAAATTCTCCCAAAGGGATTGTGATAAATTAGGCGAATTTCGGGTGACAAGGAAAAAGTCTGGAGGAGTAGTAGGCATGGAGAACGATGGGTTGAATGGAGATGTTGGGCGGGTATTACCCCCATGGCCTGACGGACCCAAGAGGCCATCTTTGGAGCCTCGATGATGGGGTTGTGGGGACATTTGAGTTGCGCCCGTGGTAGCTATTTGGGCGGGTTGGATAGAAGGCGTAGCGGCTGGCGTTTGCGGGCGTGACCGTTCGTACGAGACTTGATGGGAGGGAGGACCGTTAGGAATGGAAATATCCAAGTCGTCGAACTTGCGCTTCGGAGGTTCGGGCTTCTTCGGCGGATGAACGACATCTTTCTTGGACTTCTGCTTCTGATGTCGTTTTCCTGCAGCTCTCTGGAGGCGTTCCTCTAGTGCCTTGTTCCCGAGGATGGACTCAAAGAGAGTGCAAACCATCTTGGCGACCAGCCAAACTTTGGAAACATCCTTCAAAGCCTGCATGCAGACACCGATCCTGTCCTGCGTTGTAGAGACAACGCTCGGAACAGACGACCGCATCTGATAAACGTGCATAATTAGGGCAGAAAACAAACTATAGACACTGCCAAGCTGTCAGTGTGCTTTCCAATCTTCCGCAATAAGGATCAGCGATGGAGAACTTACATAAATGCAGGAGTATATTTAAGTTGATCGTGGGCCTGTAAATTTTCCACTATCGATGTAATCATGGCAGCAGCCTGAAAAGCGATAGTGCGCGATGGATAGGCCAATCCATCAGCGGAAGTAGTATGTGCACCGGTGGCAGGAGGCATATGTGCCCGATGTAATAGACACAAGGTTGTGCTGAAAGGGTTTTGGTCAGTAACGAGGAATGGACGAGAAAATGGAGGGCCACCACATACTAGTAGTGCGAATGCAGCAGAGCCGACCAGAAATGATGACGATTTCTATCCCAGTACACTTCTCTAGGACAATTCTGCAGCCAGTCTGCCAACGCCATGTCACTGTGAGTCAAATCCATCGCATTCGTCCTCCGGTATTTTGAAGCAACCGAGTATTGCTGTGACAGCACAAGGCCCATAATCTCGCATAACTTAACGTACTGCAGGAAGAACTGGACGTGAGTCGGATCAGGGGGGAACTCGGCCGGAGAGTCAGCTTCATCTTCAATGAAATCGTCCTCCGTAAGCATCTCCACGTCAGAGTCGTCGATGTTGATATTAACAGGTCGTCCCAGGGCGACAGCAACAGATCGATCTCGGGTGAATAGAGTCCACCAAATTCTTTTCCATAGTCTTTTATCCGCTCTGCTAAGCTGTGATGCTTCAACACTATTCAAACTGTGAGTGAACGGAAAACAAAGCGGGGGTAAAGGTAATGCCAACCTTCGATGCATGCCGGATCCTTGTGCGACGATTATAGCGACTCGAGTCCAATAAAAGACGTTCTTGGTAACGTCTGATAAAAAAAAAGGGTATTAATACTCTGACTGTGGTAAGTGTAAGAGAGAATGATGCCTACCTTCGGGACCCTCCCAGTACCACCCCATCAATACCAAGGCTTGAACGATAGTCACCCTATCGTCTTCATAATTGGCATCGAAAAGGGATTTCGCCCGTTTATAGAATGTAGTTGCAGCCGGGGTAGTCGACCCATTCGCATCCATTAACTGCGGATTTGTGCAGACTCTCGAGCCAGCGAGAAGTACCGCCTGTAGGAGCAGAATCGAAGGGGGGTTCTTGGGATCTCGATAGCGCTTCATGAAGCGACTGCGGTTAATTATAGGAACAGCGGGTGCAACCCATTTGAAATATGCGTCGACCAGCTCGTCACAAAGCGACCGTGGCGGGAGAAGGAACGCGCCTCGCTGATGTAGAATGTCGATTTCGAGACTATCTAATTCGGTGAGCCGGGCCCTCGAGCCTCTAATGCTCTCAGGAAGAGGATAGTGAACGACGTCCGTGGTCCCGTGTCGGTCGTGGACTAATATGGACAGATTCGATGATTCTCCAAGGTATGCCACTCGACCAGCTTCCGTGATCGGCGCTCGCGCAAACTTCGGTTTCATGAATTGGGCATAAGAGTGGTTCTGTTGAGCCTGTTGGGCAGCCTCGGCTTCTGTCAAGGAGGTCACTGGCATTCCATCAACAGGCCTGCTCCGTGGGCCTCCAGAACCCTCTCTTTGAGTGGGCTTCGCGCCGGTAGAGCCGCTTTCGTCACTGTGTAGAGAAACAATGGGATATTAGTCGCACGGCATTGGGAATGAGGAGGCCTAACATACTTGGCTGCATCTTTAGCTTTTTGGTTCTTCTTTCGCTTGGGAGTCGGGATCTTGCATTCGATGGAGAAGGCGACGCAGTTGGTGCAGGGCACACCAAGACTTGCAGCATCACACCGCACCTAAACCAACACATCGAACAATAGCAGTCAGCACCACATAACAATATCCAAATAAGCTGACATCACATCAAGTACCAGCATCAAGCAAATAAATTGATGACGGTGTCATGGGGTAGGATGGAGGGGGAAGTCTAGAGGCGGCGATGTGCGTCAGGCGAAGGGAATTTTGTTAACAGCACTAACCTTCCTAGCATGACATGTCTATCGCCATCAAGATTATCCTTGTTAGCCACGTTTTATCCATGTTGCATTTGGCCTTCCTTTATCTCCATCATCGCTCTCATCAGGTTGGGACGAGAGCGAATGGTTGGTGAAAAGGCAGGCCGAGGTGCCGAGGCTCAACGCCAGAGCAAGCCAAAAAGATCGCGTTGATCAAACACGAAGCGCAGAACATACCTCACAAGCTCGCGACGCACGTTGTCTAGAATATAAATACGATGATGGTCAGCTAAAAAATTACTCTAAAAACTCTCCAACCGTGTTCCATCGGAAGAAGCGCTTCAGTGGGTTTGATGGATTTGTCCCAGGCCCCTCGCATCCAATCTGCACCATCTTGTCCTTGCATCGATAAGGAAATCTGATAGCAATGAAAACAGCTGCCAACCAAAGGCGCAGTGACTCACCTTCGAAAACTAGGGTGGCCAGAAGAAGTTGTCGGCGTTGCACCAGCGCCAGGTTTAGGAGGATTCGTGGATGGCTTTTCGCCTTCGACGCCTGCCTGGACTCCGGGGTCTGCGTCCGCCGCTGGTGTGACGGTCGAAGTAGGTGCCGTTATTGGTGCTGATGGCTCACGGTCAGTCATTTCTCGATCGGATTCGGGCTCGGTTCCAGCGATGAGTTGGCTCATGGCGGCGTGGGAGGTTTGAGTCGTCAGAGAAGGCGATCACCCCCATCCAAGAAGGGCAGCCCGCTAAGCGAATTGTCTGGTAGGAGGAGGTTGGCCCTATGTGTAATTATGATTGTAAAAATTAAATTATCGCCCAAGTCAGATGGGACGAGAAGAAGGTCGCAGCCGGAGTCCGTAGGAGGAAGAGGATATGTGTGAATTGTTTTGCGATGGATCCTGGGTATGGGCGATGGTCCTTTTTTGGGATGGGGCTCCTGTGGTGGTAGATTTGCTACAGTTCAAGGTTTCCCGGTGGTTCTAGTCATTCGTCCCAGTTTTATTCCCCTTGCAGGCATAGCGATCAGCAGAAAAGAGGAATAAGCCAAAACAGGAGGCTAGGCGTTTTGAATAAAAGGATACTCCATACAGAGCGTTCTTTGGGGGGGAAAGAATAGAGGGAAAAGTGGACTGAAGGCTTTGGGGGTTGATCAAGAGTCCCCGATGGCGTGGCGACCTAAACAAGGATTAAGGATAATAATATTCAAGCAGCAACGCACCAAAGTCAATAGTTGACTTCTTATATTGTTTAACGAGAAGACACAGAGAGAGAGAGAGACCTGGATCCATAAGAAACGAGAGCACATTGACAGAACGCCCTTCGAACAGACCAACGCTGGAGCGCACCTATATGGGCGCGGGAGCTATATTAGCATCGTCGAATATCACCTCCGCAGTGCGTTTCACGAGGGACGAAAGCCCACCACCATGGCCAAACAGAAACCGTGAAAAATTCGCGATCAACTACGGAGTACTCCCACAGCTCTGGGCAACTATAGCTACTGACTCCTACCTAATCATACTGAAGGCTCCCAAAAAAAAAAAAAAAAAAAAAGGGATCTCGGGCAGGGAGAGTCTTTTCAAAACCCGATGTTGGCATTGGTGCTAGTTTGAGGACAAGGATGGATCCTCTTTGATCCCCTCGTGAGCTAGCGAGAAGTAAGACGACTGGATTTTTTGGCGCTCTCCTTTCCTGCGCAACATCGGGGAGGCCTCGAGCCCTGACGGATGCTGATCCTCAAGCACCTCTGTAACCACACTTCCATGCATCCCAACTTCCATCGCGCCCTCACTTCTCGAGGACATGGACTCTACGATAGATCTACCCCGGATGGCGGGTCATCGGTGTTAATCCCCTAAATGTGAACTGCGTGTACATCCATACAGGCCCCATTGAGAGCCTGGCTGTGCGAAGAGGATCTTCAAGGTATGTACGGAGTACTCTGTACTCCGTACATTATGCCCGAAATGCAAGGATCATGACAGAACCCAGACAGAGAGTCTCAGACACGGACACTTTTTGCTTTTTCCTCAGTCTTCTCTTTCAAATGCCCCCCTTTTAATCTTCCTCTTCCAAGATCTACTCAGGAGTTATACTTCTACAACCTGACTTACGACGCCGAGGATCAATTGACCAGGCAGTGTAACCTCCCGAGTGTGGACGTGCAGAACGGTGCGGCTCTGACTGGGTCAATTGCTCTTTCATTCTGCTGTGCGATCCGAAATCTCCTCACAGTTACTCCGCGCTTAAACATGGCACCGTTGAAGAGCAGTCTAAGATCTCATGAACCCTCCCCGGGAGATTCCGTTAAAACACGGATCCGAACCGTAGGGTCGATCGATTGGCTTGGAGGACTGATCGTGTGTCCGTTGGAAATTGCCCAGGGATGCTCTTCCACTGGCGGAGTTCGTTTATTCGAGGGTGCAGCCGCTAGCTCATCCTCAGCCAGAAACCGGCTGGCAAACCCACCATTCACACGAGTGGCAAACTAAGCTAGCATCCAGGGGGTGAATGCTTGGCCTCTTCACATGCCGAACTACTGACCCTCGCCTTATGGAGAATGCATATGACAACTCGTGCAACTGCTTCAGATCTGATCCCACAGCTTCTTCAGCCCTCTATACCTAAACCCATTTGACGTCTACCGTCTAGGCTTTCAGGGTTCCCTACTAAACTATTCCCAATGAGGTGTCTAATATCTGGGGTTTCGCATCGTGCTTCCTAGTATCGGGTTACATCTTCGACGCGCCAGTCAGTGCCTGCATGGACTCCGCACAAGACCAGCAGGGTCCTCCGTACGAAAGAACAGGAATCCCCCACATTATGGCGGGATGTGTCCGAGAGCCTGAGCCAGCCCTAAATGCTTCATCGGAACCTGTTTCTGGCCTGGCATCTCGCCCCTCAAACAAGCCCGTCTTCGTGGTGGAGTGCGTGCTGGGCCATATAGACCAACACATTTCCCCCCACCGCTCTGGTTGGCTTCCTCCCGGTCCTCTTCCCTTTTGCTTTGCCCAACCCCGCCAGCTCACTTGACCCGTTACTCTCCGATCCCCCACCTTTCTCTTCTCGAGATGCATTTTATGCCGGGCGGATTTGCTCTTGTATCAAGTGAAGACAACATGATTACGGAGTACAACCGCTTGTTACAAGGCTGACGAAATAACAAAGCCATGGAAGACTTCACATGCTGGTATGTCAGCCCAGTGTTTGGAATCCGAGACTCACCTGAAGCCTGGGTCCTCGAGTCATTTGCAGGTTCACTGCAACCAACTCTATTTGTCACCTTTCCTTCAAAGACTTGAGTAGAGCCTCCGCTGCAGTGCCATGCACTCCTATTAAGTGAAAACAGAGAAAAACTAAACAGACAGATAGTATTACATTCGTACTCAACGTACTGTTTTTGTAAAGCAAATATCAGAGTGTAGTATAGCATAAGTGTGGAGATATTTCGCCATTGCAACACCATCAATCCATTACCCATATGCCGACACATAGCATAATCATCACACCTAACAACTCAGGAAACCGGAATGGTGCAGTATTTAGAATATGTATTCCATGGTAAGTTGCTAAATGTGCAACATTTCTCCGTGTGAAGCAACTCTACCTCTATAGTCTGTAAGTTGGGGGTGCGGTCACTTCAGAGCGTCCCTTTTTCAACGCTGTTTTAAGCCCGTATGTACTCCACGTGCCGACTTCCCAGAGTGAGAAGCTTCGATTGCCTGGCCTGGTCTTCAAATACCGTACAAGTACGAGTCCTTCACTTTTGCACCCATCAGCAGCAGATTATGGCTGGTTCTGTACAGGCTAAACAGTTTCACCTTTCTGAGCTCTCCATTATCCGAAATGTCCATTCATCAGACAGCTCGAAAATCTTCCTAGTCAAATATGAAGGCGCGAAATATTGCCTAAAAGTGGTATGTCAAGAATCAAATGCAGTGTTCTCGTCTGGGCCATAATTTACAGAATTGATTTCCAGTTTCATGTCAACAACGTCCCAGGATTTACCTCCACAGGCCGAGATCTCTGTCGCTATCGTTGTGAGATCGAAGCATACAAGCTCCTCTCAGCAGCGGAAATATGCGAGCAGGGCTTTGTACCTAAATTTCACGCGTTATTTTAGGATATTGACCCACTTATGCCCACACTGACACCATATCTCAACGCCTTCCTTGGTGATCTCCACCATCCCTGCGCTATATTACTTGAGAGTATCTTCCCCATGCGGAGCCTTTGAACTGCGAAAACTACACCAGAGATAGGATCCAAAAGGCCATCCAGGGTATCACAGCTGTACACCACGCAGGAGTTGTGCATAATGACCCATACCCAAAGAATGTGTTGATTGTTCCCGGAGCGGCAACCAATGGAAGTGATGACCGAGTTGTATGGATCGATTTTGATATTGCCCTTAATTTCGGGTCTGAGAAGGTTGGTGGGAGGTTACAGTATGATGAAAGCATAGAGAATTTCACACATATTTGACCGAGAGGCAATATATTACTTGGCATGACATTCTCTCTTTCTGGGCAAACTACCTTGTGCTTCCTTTCTGAGGCTGGAATTTTCTAGGAAACCCTCAACTCAAATCAAAAATAATGCAGGCCAAGGTCAGAATACCATCTGATACTTGGAAAGGCTGAACTCAAGTGAATGCGCACAGAGATATCATAGGAACCAAAAAAAAAAGAATACTAATGAGTGGGTTTACTTGCACTGTGCATTTCGCCCACTTCACTTTGAACTCTATGATAGTTTAGGTCAAGATATACAAGAAGGCATGATTCATTCTGACCAAGCATATGTCACTATCCACGCCCGAACAACTGCAGCTGCCTCTATGCAAGCAAAGTATGCCAACAGAATGAAGATCTGGTAAGAAGCCCATATCCATTGGGAATGAGACTTCTTGGTGTGAGAGTGGTTTGAAAACCAAAATTCAATCATAGAGAACGCTGAGACCACTGACAAAGTATACCATGCCTGCCAACCGAAGTGACCGAAAAAGTTGCAACGGAACTCATTTGTTGTAATGTAGTGGTAATTCTCAAGAGAATAAAGGTTTCCTCCAAGAAAAGCAGCCAACAAAATGTTTTAGGACTGGCTTTATATAGTTAGTTCTATGTTCATCTCAGTAGAAGGTCCAAATTCTCAACCAATAAGTTGCAAGCACCACTCCTGGGAGAAAAGTTTTACAGCTAAATGGTATGCATAGGATGACTCCGAAAAAGCTGCCCTTGAACTCATTCATATCATGAAACTATGATTGTTCCCATATTACTGATGGTGCTAATATTGGCATATCATTTAATGCTATAAGTCTTATTAGCATTTGAGCAACTTTAACCTTTACTTTGAATTCGTTCCTAACAAGGTGCATATCTCTGGAATCAGTAATTTACTCTTTCAGGCTCTCAAAAGACCGCCTTCCCTTCGCCCAGAATACCCACATTTTTTTTTTACAGATTGGGGAGACATCCCTCTGCCTGGCTTCTTGCTATACAATTTTGCCATTGTTCATATCATTGATATCTCTACAGCTGGGGTATATATTGAAAATATAGAAGAATGTGTTCAGGAGGATGAGCTTAATGACCTAGATTGTCTAGCAAGGCTGAGGCTACGCAGTTGGAGAGACATGCGCAGACACAACTGGGCATACCGCAAGACGACGCTGGATTGGAATTGCGGTGCACTTATTTCATACCATCTGCAAATCATAGCCCTAAGTCTTCTACAGGCACGGGTTGTGGACACAAGTCGTACTGGTTTGTATGAGCTCATATATGTCTCTTTCCTGGCATCGGAGTATTATTGCTATTGTTGGACGCTCCCTACTCTTCTTGACTGTATTACCGAGTTTATCTGTAATGGCTGCTGTCTAGATTAGATTGAACTACGAAATCTGTTATGTATAATTGTTCTAAGAGATGTTCTCAAGCCTGGCATCAGCAATGGTTGCTTGTACCCTTGTGGTTCAAACATGCCTTAATTGTACCGACAATGTGCCACAATGAATTTGTATTTCCAATGACTTCCTTTCCCCCTAGCATTCCAAATGCTATCATAGATGTAATACTTTACGACTTTTTCAACATACACTTTTTATATGAAATTGTTTAGAGATATGCGTCAAATGCGACATTCTATAGGTCTTTGCCCAAACTCTATATGGAGACAGATATTTTACCACCAAAATTACAATTTCCCAAGGAACCTGATCAGGTGCCCGCATATAAAAATTAAATAAGGCAATAGAGAAAAAAGATTATAAAGTCTTAATTGACCACTTTTGCCGTACGGTCGGTGGAAGATACGAGTCCATTTTCGACAAAGCCACGCTTCCCCGGGATGTTGGGTTTTGACGAAGATCCTCTGGCTGGCTCGTGTAACTTCCCATTTGTCTCGACCGAAACGTTTGGCTCGCCCGGTTTGCCAGAGGATACGCGATCATCGCTTTGAAACTCGATTCCCGAAATGAAGACCTCACTTAGGAATTCTAACCCTGCCACAAAGACGGACATCCCGCTCGCAATACAAAAGTGGCTGATGGTTGTTCCGATATCGAGCCAGCTCCCTTCGTCTCGAACCATATAAAAGAAGTTCAAGGTCATCACGTCGCTAATTGACATAACGATCATGAATAAGGCGGACGGAGCGACGCCTAGCCGGTGATTGAGAATGCCGAGATTCGCGCTGATCACGGCGAATGGGATGAGGATCTTGAGAATGAGGAGGGCGCCCTGGGAGAAGGGATTGAAGATAGGGATGAGGCGACAAACGCTCTCAAGAGAGAATGAGGAGATAGAAGCGATGTTGCCAGTGCTGAAAAATGCGGACTGTAGGAGGAAAAGGAAAAAGAGGGCGATGCGGGCATCGGAGACGGTTAGGCTGCGGTGCCTGCGATTTTGGATTGCGGTAGAGAGTGAAACCCGAAGGCTCTCTGTCCTCCCGGTCGTGATTCCCTGATCGGTAGGTGTTTTGGAGGTCGTATGGTAGCTCGACGTATGTACGTATATGCTGTGTTCAAGTCTCACCCATGTGAGAAGCGATACACAGAATGTAAAATAGAAGAGTCCTTCGTAGGAGATAGTGAGGATGATAAACGTCGGTGAGAATGCAAGGAAGAGTATGATAAGGCGATGAAGATAATGGCTATTTGGATAGAGTTTGTGCACGAAGGGGAGCAAAAGCGAAGAAACTATAAAGAGTTAGCAATTGAAGGTGAGTAGAGGGTCCGTAAACTTGAGTTACTGCATACCCATAATGATCCATCCAACAATTTGATTGCCAAATGGTAAACCCTTCTTAGCTTGTATTGATGCAATACTTGACCTTGTAACAATAATGGCGAGTAGAATCAGACCGACCTAGAAATTCGTTAGCCAGATAAGCAAAACGTAATACGCCTACAGGGGATGCCGGTGACATACTTGAATTCCCATAACAATGCGTGATCCCTTGCGAAGGGAGCTTTTTGCGGCTTGTTTCGATTGAAGGGTGATGCTCTCCTCAAATGCGAGGTAGAGGAGGCCCGTGGCAAACATAAGTGCGCCTCCAAGGGTGCTGCATATTTGTTAGAGCCCAGTCGAGTTAATATCGTTGGATCACTCACATTGTATTCGAGCTTTCAATTTTGATCACTGGGAGAAGAGTGAAAACACTCAATAAACCACACCCAATAACCCAAGTAGAGACAACGACTTTGTTGCGAGAGAGGAAGTCGAATCCGTAAAAGGCCGGCCAAAAACAAGCAATTAGATAACAGGCAGTGTAGATCTCTCGGTGAAAATAAGATTGAACAAGAGCCTCTAATACTCCAATATATATCACTAACTGGAGTGAGAACGAGAAATAACCCGAAAAGGTTCGAATATGGCCTAAGAGGATCTGTCGTCCGGCTTTAAGCGCGTCTCGCCTTGCAACAACTTCTTCCCAGAAAAATACTGGGAATATGGCATATGCATAATAACGCCAGGAGGACTTCTGAACCCATAATACGGAGTATAGACCAACTAGGACGGAAGAAAAAAAGCTCGTGGTGAAGGTAGTCCGGACAGATTGAGAAGTTTGGTGTAAAACATGGAGGTCTATAACGGTGGTTAAAGCATAAGCAATCCATCCAAGATAGCCCGCGGTAACAATGGTTCGCAGGAAGAGCCAGTCGTACGTCTGGAGGTAGCGCAATCCGTCCAGTGCCTCCTCTAATAGACTTGATGAGTGACTGATTGCTTCCTCGTATTTTTGCTTAGAAATTAGCTTTTGGATTGCGGATACCTGGGAATCTGGCGAACTGTCGGGGCTGGCAAATGGCCCATATGGCTTGTACCGTAGTGTAGAGGACCTCTTGTGCTCCTCCTTCACGTGGTATATTTCAAGGACTCCTTGAGCGTTGGCCAAAGCAGCATTCGCCTTCTCCTTTAAAGTCGCATCGATATAATCAAGCGGAAGCTTGCCCACGGAATTGGCAGGAAAGTCGAGCCCAGCCAAATAAGCCATGAGGGCAGCAACATCGGCCTGAGCAACGTCATGCCGATGAACATGATCCAGGTTCCAGTCCGATGAGAAACCGTCTTCGTGACCGGGAGCAACTCCCCAATGGGAAATTTTTGGTTTAGCGACCCCGGAGCCCCAGACAACAAGTGGCGTACGGGTGTTATCTGGGTGGCCATCACCATGGCTACCCCAGTCACTCATACCATGATCAGCGGTGAAAACGAAGGCAGTTTCATCATCACCGTAGAAATTCTCAACTAATTCAGTAATTTCACGGACTCCTTGATCGACAACTTTTATGTTGTGTAGATATTCCCTTGAGTATGGTCGATAAGCATGACCGGACGTATCCAGACCCAAGAGATGCAGGAAAAAGACTAGCTTATCGTCTCTCAACCTTGCATTCAGCTCCGGATCCTCTTTTGCCCTTGAGAACAGCGCTTTCACTTTATCAAACACCCATATATCCAGCTTTGTTGCATCCTGGGTGAAATCCTCGGCCTCCTCACCGTATGTTTCCGCATCGATTCTTCCGGGAACGGCACCCTCCTTAAACATAGGAAGGATATCCGGGCTCCCCCAGCTCCAGGTATGCCTACTGCGATTGAAGACACTATCGAAGTTGACTGGATTCAATTTCCAACCTGTTGTAACCGCCGAAACGTCTTCGTACAACCCTGCGATGAGTGCAACATGTCCCGGTCTCGACTCCGTAGGAACGCGGGTGTGAGACACGCCGAATGTACCGTGGTGGAGGACGCGCGAGCGGATGAACGGAGCAAGTGGCCTCGGTTTGAGATATTCTCCATCGCAGCTGGAAGCATCGGGGCATGCGTCTGGAGGCGGAGACGGGTCGGGAAAGGATTGAAAAGCCTTGTCAGCACGGAGACCGTCTCCGACAAACAGGAACAATCGCTTCGCGGGTGCTTTGGCTCCGGGTTCGCGCTCCACGCCACAAGGTCGCATTCCACTCACGATTGGGCTGACAAAATAGATATCGAAGATCGAGTAGGTGTAAATCAAATGGAAAATTATAGCCAGGGCCAAAAACCCGACACGACCAAGGCGGGCCATGGTTAACGAAGGCACGGAGAAACGAAGTAGCTGCGTCAATCAGGGTATCACGATGGCATTGTGTGAGGGTAAAATGAGCGAACGCGGTCTCAACGACCCCGTAAGACAAAGTCCGAACGAGAAGAGATGGGAAATGTATTTAAGTGGCGCCCGTCCCACTGTTAACCCTTTCGTCCCTGGAACGGGAGAATGGGCGTGCGGCTGCTCAACACGAAGCTTCGTCGTTTTTAAGTTGCAGGAGAGGCTTGGCACGGCTCCCACTTTGATTGCGGCTGAGGACCTTGGTTACTAACAATCAACTCTCGACATTAAAGCTACCAGTTCATGGTCTTTTGAGCACAATTTGAGGATAGATAGATAGATACATACATAGATACATACATACATACATACATACATACATATATATCTATGGCAGCCATTCCAGCTCTCGATTAGGCTTTGAAATAGCAGACCAAGACCCTACGCTGTCGCAATGCAGCTATTTAGAGACAGCTTCTGCGTGGCCTGCGTAGTAATTAGTTATGTCCTTGGCAGAGTACCTCAGAGGTCTCGTTTATCAAGGTATTACGGATTTACTCCGTACAACGCCGGCTCTCTGGGGCCTATGCAGAATGTTGTCACCTAGACATCTCGGAATAGAGACAGGAGGGTGGAAGAGTGATCAAATCTCAACGACCAGTAAACGAGTGAAGCCAGTTCGGTTTTGATAACGGAGGAGCATATCCTGTTATTTCTCCGGTCAAAAAATGGCGGACACTTAGTCAGGACTTTCTCTTAATGTAGATTTCTATGATAAAATTCGCCTCGAGCTCCGGAGAGGAGTGTGCTGGGAAAAAAGTTTTGAGAAATGCTTTTGGGTTTGCAGTGATGGCTTTGTCCCTAGTGGTGCGCTCCACGTCTTACTTTTTAGGCCAGCTGCCCTTCCCTCATTCCTTGATTGCTAGAAATGTAGTTCATGAAAAAAAGGTAAGTCCTTAGGTCAAAAAAGAAAGTTGTATTGAACATTTCGAACATCCTCTAATGTTGGAGCTTTATCTGATCGGACCAATTTCATTTAGCAAATCCAAAGGGTAAGGTTTAGTGTTCCAAAAGTAATACTTCTCCAGAGATATATCCTGCCAAAAATCGCATATCAAAGATAATTACATTTTCATGAGGGCCTAGCTGTCATCTATCCGTCTTTTAGTGAGGGTATCCACAACCCTACTGTAGAACTTTGAAGCATGTTGCCTCGAGAAGGTAATGTCCACTGCAAGATATTCAGGTAAGATTTCCAAGAGGTTTCGATCACGATTATCGTCCAAAAGAGGCATGTATTGGAATTCTGCTGCTTCAAGATCAGTCGTAATTTTGTTATCAGAATCATCGGCAACGACCAATTTGAAATGTAGAGCTACATCGAAAGACATTAGCATGATACGTGCACTGGCTTTGCATATGAAGTGCTACTTACTCCCATTGAGTCCAGTTTGGATGCAGTCGTACAAATAATCTCCGTCCCTTGCCTTTACATCACGGACGATCAGACCTGTCAGATCGCTATAGAGGTCTTCTTTTAATTGAGCGATCTGAAGTGCTTGTGCCGATTCGGCATTGGCAGCCATAGTAGCTCGGCCTCCTTTACCCGTGCTGCCAGGAGCCTTCGGCTTTTCATTCGTGGCCGCATTTCGAGCAGCCATGAGTTTAGCTTGTAAGGCTTTGATTTCATTTTGAGCCTTACTCAGATCAGAGGACATGCTCCCAACCCTGGATTTGAGTTCAGAAACTTCATCATCTCGTTCAGAGAGTCGAGCTCGGAGGGTTTGCGATTGTTGGGCTAATTCCGTTTGTGTAGCGAGTTCATCTTTCAGTGATGTAATAAGGGCATTCGAAGCTGCTAGCTATTAGCCTCCAGGATAAAATCGAATTAAAGCAGCAAATCTTTACCTGCAGTCATGCTTTCACATTGCTTTCGTAGCTTTTCGACATTGGCGCTAGCTTCAACGATGCCTACTTGTCTTAAACTGCGGTATCTTGCTTCCATGCTCTCCAACTTTTTAGAAACATCGGTCAGCTTCCGCTTTAACATGGCTTCGTTGGATTCATTTCCTGTATCTAAATTACTCCCCGTTCTCCGTCCCTTGGAGGGCGTTGCGGCGGGTGCTGGTTCTGGAATTCCCTTTAAGAATCTTTTCAGCGGAGATGGAAGTGGAAGGGAGGAATCGCTCTCTTCGGCTTCTGCAACAGCCGCTTCGTCAATGTCAAACGAATCCTCCTCTTGGCCGTGCTCACCAATAGGCTGCTCTTCTGTTTCTGGTTCTGCGGAAGGGGTTCGTGCCACCAGGGCCGTCCGCTTTCCCGTCCGTCTCGATTTTGGCGCGGGCTTATTCCCTCGTGTGCCCGTAGGAGTATATTCAAATTCACCATCCTTCACAACTTCCTTCTCCGGTTCTTCTCTCCTCCCACGTCGTCCCGCTGCCTTGACTTCCTGCTTTGGAGGCACTGTCGCCGTGGTTTCCGGAGAGTCAAGTTCATCCTCTGACAATTGATGTGCGTCATCACTAGCCTCTTCGTCTTCTTCTAAAGTATGCGCAGCTTCTGCATTGGCTATCTGCGCTTCATTTGCTTTTCTCTGCTTTGCTGCCGTCGCGCCGTTCGCTCCGCGTCGCTTCGGTCCCACGACGACGGTGGAACGCGCTTTTCTTGTAGTTGTCTTCGTCTTCGTCGCTTGAGTCGCAGTTGACTTGGGCCGACCCCTCATGCGCTTCGCCGGCGGAGAAGCAACATCGTGCTGGTCGGCAGCACTCAAAAACCCATCATCGTCGATCCCCCCGTCAACGATTCCAGATAGGTTTGACGTAGCTTTCCGTTTCGGCATATCGCAATAATAATAGCTGGATGCACTGAGCTAGGCAAATTTGGTTGTAAAACTGGCGCACAGCAATGGCGCTTGTATCTTGTTCAACCGCTCGGAGGCGAACCCTTTTGTCGAGTCTTGAGCGCTCCTTTCCGTGCCAAAATAAACGGGACGCGCCTGGCCGACGCAGCACGTGACCAGTCTGGTTGACCAGCTTCAGCCACACTCTATTTAGGCCCGACAAGCCACGGCTAAACTCGATGTCACAAGCCGAGATCGAAGCTTGTGAGCGTTCGAACCCAAGCAACAGTCTCGGAATCGAGGGACTTTTTAAAACTCGGAAAACTCGACTCCTGCAGTTCCGCTGTGCTCTTACGGACGGTTGTTTCTTAAACCATCCTCCCGCCCCCTGTTCCTCTACCGTTTTATTCCCCTTACCCCTCCGTATCCGGCGATTGGTCATGGCTTCCGGGAACGTAAGAAGATGGCAGCAAATAATTCAAGAACTTATTCTCATAGCTGGTACAGTATGGGATTCCTCAGTTATGTTGCGTTTCTGTCTTTAGATTTATTCTGATCCATTTCCCAGTCCCTTTCAACGTATTTCGTTGTTCGATTTCTCCTGTCGCGACTAGAATTCGATCCCGAGAGCCAGAAACATGAAGACGCTAAGAGGAAATCCGCCGCAATACTTCGAAGGTTAGACCGTGGTGATGATTCGGATGATAGTTCATCAAGCCGCCAGAAGAGGCCTCAAAAGCAGAAGAAGCAGGACCTCGTTCTCACCCAGTATGAACAGGCCATTGCTATGGATGTTGTGGCCCCGGAGGATATCCCTGTTTCCTTCAATGACATTGGGGGCCTGGACGATATCATTGAAGAGCTGAAAGAGTCGGTGATATACCCGTTGACGATGCCCCATCTCTATCGATCGTCGTCCTCTCTTTTAAGTGCCCCGTCCGGTGTTCTCCTGTACGGCCCTCCGGGATGTGGCAAGACGATGCTGGCAAAAGCACTCGCGCATGAAAGTGGAGCTTGTTTCATCAACTTGCACATATCGACATTAACAGAGAAATGGTACGGAGATTCAAACAAACTGGTTAATGCCGTGTTCTCCCTCGCGAGAAAGCTGGAGCCGAGTATCGTGTTCATCGATGAGATCGATGCCGTACTAGGAACGAGACGGAGTGGCGAGCACGAGGCCAGCGGCATGGTGAAGGCTGAGTTCATGACACATTGGGATGGGCTGACTTCAGCAAATGCCATGGGCCAGCCACAACGCGTTATGATTCTTGGAGCAACAAATAGAATTCAAGACATCGACGAAGCCATCCTCCGACGAATGCCTAAAAAGTTCCCTGTTACCCTTCCCGCGGCCGCTCAGAGACGACGAATATTGGGGTTGGTTTTGAAGGACACAAAAATTGAGAGAGAGAATTTTGATGTGGACCTACTCGTCCAGGCTATGGCTGGCATGTCAGGGAGTGATATAAAAGAAGCCTGCCGCGATGCGGCCATGGTACCCGTCCGGGAACTCATCCGGAGCAAACGCGGTGCAGGTGCATTGATCAATTCCATGAACCCTGATGAAGTTCGAGGTTTGAGGACAGACGACTTCTTCAAAAAAGCAGGCGGTGTTAGGCCCACAAACCCCTATTCTGAAGCCATACAAAGAGCATCTCACAAGCTGCAGTCCGAGAAGGAATGGGTTACGGACTCAGAGCCTGATAATGTCGAGGCCGAATCTAGGATCGTTCCGGTCGCAGATGGACCTGACTAAATTGCTACTTGCATAGATACATATATCTCCACGTTCGAATTTGGCATATGGTTTGGATGCATATATGACCGGCCTGGCATCTAGTTTTGTACCTAATATACTGGCGTTTTCAAGAGCGGATGGGAACTTTGCTGCTGCGGGAACTAGGATGCATTAGATCTGTTCCGAATTTTAATTGCTTGCTATTCCTACTAATTTTGCCTCGTCTGGAGGCTTCGAGGAAGTCCCCCATTCCTTGAAAGCTCTACGCTAACGTGTTGGAATCTGTCCGTCCCTGTAAGGGCCGGAGAAGAAACTTTTCCGTATTACCTAATCCATACAACTGCGATGACGCGATTTCTTAGCAGCAGATCAGCACTCCGCTGTCCCATGTAACTCCGCCGGAAAACCGTCTGTTACTCATTTCGCTCTCTTTTACCGCTAGATATCCCATATGACTGTTTAATATATAGTTGATTGTTACAATTGACTATCCAAAGCCTTTTGGAGAGTTACATTGTGACACTAACGACTTATCTAAGTTATCATCAATCATTACTCTCTCTGCTGAGCTACACATCACAGGTTCCGCTCAGTGAGGTTAGCCATGTCCGATTCCGAAGCATTCTCCGGCGCCAACAGTGGTAATTCTCCTGCGGAGAATGTGAGTGCTGTGCGAAAAGCATTTTCAAAAGTCGATTTGGCTGGGCATAATCTTCCTCCGTCTCCTGCACCATCAAGCCCACGGACGGGAAGGCGGTACGCGCTTGCGACGGAGCTGGTTTACACAGAGGGAAATGATCAGTACAAAGCAAGCAGCGTGCCGATATATCAGGTGAGACGAACCCCGTATTATTTTGCGGACAGAGGACTGATTTGTTTCTGTACTTGGTAGAGCGCGACCTTTAAGCAGAACTCTGGTGGTGGCGGCGGTGAATATGACTACACGCGGTCGGGGAACCCTACCAGAACGCACCTCGAGCGGCACTTGGCGAAGATCATGTCTGCTCAGCGAGCGCTTGTGGTTTCGTCAGGGATGGCAGCATTGGATGTTATCACCCGCTTACTCAAGCCTGGAGACGAGGTCATCACAGGAGACGACTTATATGGAGGCACACACCGTCTATTGAAGTATTTGTCGACGCACGGCGGAATCATAGTGCATCACGTTGATACGACGACACCGGAAAAAGTGGGAGAAGTACTTGGACCAAATACAGCTATGGTTTTACTCGAAACACCGACGAACCCTCTCATTAAGATTGTTGATATTGCCCGAATTGCTACCATGACACACGAAGCGAACCCTAACGCCTTGGTTGCGGTTGATAATACCATGCTTTCTCCTTTACTCCTCAATCCGCTAGATCTTGGAGCCGATATCGTTTACGAGAGTGGTACAAAGTACCTTTCAGGACACCACGACTTGATGGCTGGTGTGATCGCTGTAAACAACTTATCACTCGGAGAGAAACTCTACTTCCCTATCAACGCATCCGGATGTGGGTTATCGCCATTTGATTCTTGGTTGCTACTTCGCGGAGTGAAAACCCTGAAGGTTCGGATGGAACAGCAACAGTCCAACGCCCAACAGATCGCAGAATTCCTAGAGTCACATGGCTTCCGCGTGAGATACCCTGGTCTCAAGTCACATCCACAATATGATTTACACAGATCCATGGCCCGAGGGGCTGGCGCTGTTCTCTCATTTGAGACAGGAGACGTCGCGATGAGCGAACGGATTGTGGAAAGCGCCAAACTGTGGGCAATCAGTGTCAGCTTTGGATGTGTGAACAGCTTAATCAGTATGCCATGCCGCATGAGCCATGCAAGTATAGATGCAAAAACAAGACAGGAGAGGGCAATGCCTGAGGACCTGATTCGATTGTGTGTGGGTATTGAGGATGTGGATGACTTGATTGATGACCTTAGAAGAGCAGTGAGTGGCACATCCCTGCCTGATTTCAAAGCTTCTATTATTGTTACCGTGACTCCAGCTAACCTGTGTTCATATATATAGCTTGTTCAAGCAGGTGCTGTTAGCGTTACCGTTGATGGTTTTCAGTCTGTAAACCAGCCTGAAGCCGCAGCTTCTGAGGCCCAAAATACAATTGGCACAGCATGATAATTTTGTTGTCTAATTATTGTTTCCATGCTGTTGGCTTTATAACCGGCTCGGATCTATGATGATGTGATACTTTTGGTGTCTTTGATTCTACAGGCGACAAGGCGTTTATGAGTGTGTTGGCCATTTTTTCAAAAAGAGAATCAACTTCTGCTTCAAAATCTCAATACCTCACTTATAAAAGGAAAAGGTGATGCAAATAGAACTATTCCATATCTATGTAGGCCATGCTAGGAACCCAACTTTGTAAGGTGCTAGTTATACATATAGGGACCACAACCTTTTCCGTATTAGAATCCGTACACAGAAAACAATCATTGCCCTTTACCAGGTTGATGCTCGGGGTAGGGTAAGGAAATAAGCTAGTGGTTGGATCTGGGCTAGTTAACTTCCTAGTCTCGACGACCGAATTCTGACTCAGAGTGATTAACTAACAGCTATGGCATAACTATTTGAAAACATGACCTACTAAGTATAGCCTGCTGAACATAAGGCTCGGGAGGTGTTCGTTCGAAACTTGAAAGCTCCCTTTTCGTCTTTTAAAACTCAACATATATTGAATTAGTTCGATTTCTATATCATTTCAAACATGCAGACGTGATTAATATCATTTACTTGTTTCGTCATCCATATATGTAGGATGTCTCTTGCCAAAGGAGACAAATATGCCAAGTGACACATAGTTGTCACAGTGTATATCTAAAGAACGGGCTCATATCACCCATATCCAACAATTCTTGATCGGTATACCGTGCCCTGATTGCTTCTTCTCCTTCTTGTTCCAACAACAGATCACGCTGCCTATTAACTCTCCGATACGCTACCCTTAGTACGAATGCTGTGATAATTGCAATGACTGCCATGGCAAGAGACACTCCAAAACCAGTTGGATATTTTGGTTTCTCATTCTCCCGGTAGATATTCGACCCCGCGATGCCGCCCCAGTTTCCGATGGAGATTAGCAACGCCATTCCAACAGCGCGCTTTGAAGAAGGGGCGAGATTATTACCAATTAGACAGACAATGGAAATGAAAGGCGCATAAAGTCCAGCGGCAACGAGGAAGAGCATGCCGTATGTCAGTCCAGGATACTCAGGATGCGGTATGGCAAGCTGGGAGGTAAAACCCAAGACGGCAATAACGTAGCCAGCAATGATGAATGGAGTCCGCTGTTGGTAGCGATCTGAGACAAACGCAAATGCCAGGGTGACTATCATAGCGACCACATAGATAGGAATAGTGAGAAGCTGCGCATGTGCTGCTGTGTAGCCCAGGTCAGCGATCACCGTAGGAACAGTTGCCGTGAAACTGGTGTCGTTTATATAACGTTAGCGTATATATCTGTTGATGTAGGGCCTAGAATACTAACCCATAAACACCAATGGTATTGGCCCAGAAGAGAATGATGGCACCCCAAATTTTCCATTCCTTAAACGCAGCAACAATGTGATGGAGTTGTATCTTGTCAGAGTTTGTAACCTTTCCATGTCCGGAGCCGGTTTCAAGAGCGAGCCGGTTAACAATAAACTCTCTTTCGGCCTTTGTCAAGAACCGGGCCTGCTCTGGACTATCCGGAAGGATTTTCCACACAATTGCTGCAAGAACCACAGGAAGAAGACCCTCAATGATAAAAATCCTATTGCAAAAAAATCCCTCAGCTCCCAAATCCAATACGTATTATCGGGTTAAGTTAGTACTAACCATCGCCAACCAGCGTAGTTACCGACTCCATTCATTTTCTCGATAGCAAACGCTAGAAGTCCTGAAAACGCACCGGAAAGTGATGCTGCAGCATAGAAAACTGCCATTCGCTGTTGAACCTCATAGCGCTTGTACCAGATCGTCAACAAATATGTTGCCGCTGGGAAGAACCCCGACTATACGTGTTCTCGGGTTAGCTAGAATAGAATTGGGAAGGCGGATCCAGAGGCAATGTACGCACTTCAGTAACTCCCAGGAACCAGCGCGTTGCCAGGAGACCTTTGTAGTTGGATATGACACCCATTAAACTAGAATTAATATTAGCTTCTTTAAACGACCGCAAGGAGATAGAGATTCGAACGTCATCACAGTTCCCCATGAAAACATCATAATTGAAATCCACACAGAAGGTCGTAGCATCTTAAGGACGATGTTGCTCGGAACTTCGAAGAGACCGTAAGGCACAAAAAACAGGGTCAAAGCAATGTTATATTGCGAGCCATGAAGGTTGAGATCCTTCTCCATCCCCGCAATCTTAGCATTGGCAACTAGAAGGAAGTAAGCATCTTATTATAAAGCCGACAACAAAGCTAGCAGAAATTGGTAACTTCTTGGGTAACCTCATTGAAAAATATGTGGGATCATCAGTGTCATATACTCACTGTTCCCTCTATCAATGAAAGCCAGGAGATAGAGCACTGCCAGCAGTGGAACCAATCGATAGTCAACCTTTCGAAGGATTCGCTTTGCTTCCTCGGGGGTGTAAGATTCCACGGTTCTCCGGATCTCCTCAACGTCTTCGATCTTGGGTTCGTCCGTCACCATTGTCAGGCTGTTATGGCACTTTTCATTTGGTGGGCTTTCTATCTGATGATCGTCCCCCTTCAATTCGGGGGACAAATTGGAGGGTGAAGCCATTGCTGATAGAGATACAGCTGAGATTTGACAGAAGGCCTGCAAGAATAATAACAGGCTACCTTGGGAGTTGGGAGCTGCGGCTGTATAAATATTTCGGCAAAAAGCAACAGCCGGGTTTCCTACGCAAGGACGGTGACCCTTAACGGACTCCCCAATATCTGGCCGAAAAGAAAGCACGGAGGGTATCATTTGGGAGACAAAGCAAATCAAGCTGTGCTTTAGTTGAATTACCCCAGAACTTCTCCGCCAACCTAGGAGATACAATCCCGGTGACGCTGGGTGTGAGTGTAGATCACTGAGTCCATCACCAATCAGAACTCGGGGGTTGTTACCAAGCGCGATTTTGGCTCTGCTTTCGTACGGGGTAATTCAGACAAGCATTCAGCCGAGAGTTTGGCCATTAACTTCCCGCATTCTGAAGATCGTTCCAGCAACTGAGGGTTCCCAAACCTGCCAGCGAATTTGCCGCGGCATCTTGCAGGAGGAATCAAAACGGCCAGTGCCATGGGGTAGTGGATACTTCGCAGAAATCCTAGGATGTACATTCTGGTTGTAGCAAGCTCAGAGGGACTTGGTGGGGTCACTCGCGAGTTTAGTCTCCAACAATGAGTAGAAGGCTACATTGAATTCCCATTTGCTTTAGATCGAGGGTCGAAATGGTAATAACCGTACGAAGGGAAACGAAGGACTCGTTATCATAACATAAGGCTAGTACAGCGAGACGTTCAAGTGTCAGACGCCAGGTGAGAACTAAGGCCTGATGCCTGTCTCTGTACTCCCATGCGGAGGAGCTGAAAGAACATGGAGCGAGACATCGTGTATCTAAGCCCGCCACGAACGAATTTTAAATTCTCCTGCAGCCATCTTGCATCAAGGTAGTAGCAGAACCGCTGTTGCAACAGCACCGTGCGGGAAGAGGTCACCACCTACACAATCATGAGCTGATGAGCACGTAGAAGAAAAGAGAGACCACCACCAGAGCACGGGAGGGCTCCCAACGGCCCTTAGTGCCTGGACAGCGGGAACCTACCTAAGGTTGTGCGGGAGTCGGAATATATTAGGTATGATCACGCAGCGTAGTTGCCAAGCAGGCCACCGGTCCGATTTCGGCAGAGATTTGGGGGACGTGGTTATTAGGTTTGCATAGGCTACGCATGACTAATCGTGTGGGTAGTTGAATTTAGCCGCAAAATTTAACTGGATGATGTCAGTTTCGAATTTGGCCTCACCGTCAAAAGAGTTGAGTCGGAGAATTTCGAAGCAATTGTCGTTCATTTTTCCTTAGATGTTGATTTGATATTCATTGCGGAGCATATATATTATATGTGTATTCGACTACTGCAGCGTCTCTTGTCTATATTATTAATGATAACCAACTCCGTTCTTTCTTCCACCTACCTTCACTGTTCGTGGTGAATTGTTCCGTGCATGCTCTTGTTCAGGCCATCCACACCGACTTTTGCTTCTTCCAGCTTTCGTTCGTTAACTATTGGTAATGTCGCAAGATGACCGAGTGTCAGTCGATTCTACCCATCCAACAAAAGACATGGTGATCAAACACAACAGCTCGAGCTATCTTGAGCCTCACGTCCATCCACCACCAGTCCATGTACCTCACCGCCATGTCGTGCCAGAATCACTGGCCTCGACAGCAAAGAAATGGAATACCAATAGCTTGGGTATGAGATTAGCTTTAGATGCCGCCAGTGCTACGACTGCTGCAGCTCTGATATGCCCCATTGTTACGATCATAGATCGGTATGTATTGCTCATACTTTTATCCCCACTAAGCTACTCGATCGGACCATTTCTGACATTTTGCTATCTTTTGAACCTATAGTGCCATAATAGAGAAAGCCGCCAAGGGTCTTGCTATTCGAGAGAGCTTGACGTCCTCTCTTCGAGGAATGATAACCCGTCCACACCATTTCATCATCTCAACGCCGTTTCTACTCATTTACACGCTCTATTCTTGCACCTATCTGACAGCCAATGTCATTGACACTGTTGTTTCAACCACGAACGATAAGGAATTTAGTCACGTATCAGCTGGCCCTACAAAATTCCTTTCAACTGCACTCGTGAATATGTCGATCTGCGTATATAAGGATTCACGATTTGCAAAGCTATTTGGAGCGCAAGGCCAGCAGACTCAAGGTTCACCCCAATCATCAGCCACAGCATCTAGGGGCGCTCAGATGGCGTGCCAATCAATGAAAAAAATGGCAGCAGCGCCGAAAATCCCAAAAATCTCCCTTGGCTTGTTCGGTCTTCGTGACAGTCTAACGATATTCGCTTCCTTCAACGTCCCGCAGCTGATCTCCCCGCATATTCCTAACTTCCTCGCCTCAACACCATCATCAAAGACATCCTTAGCCCAATTTACGATCCCTGCCACCGTCCAAATATTCAGCACCCCACTCCATCTTCTGGGATTGGATTTATATAATCGCCAGCCTTCTGAAGGGCTGCCTGCCGCTGATAGGTGGGCACGTGTGAAGCGGGACTGGTTTCCTAGCTGTGTTGCAAGAATAGGGCGTATCCTGCCAGCTTATGGTGTCGGCGGTGTCGTCAACACCAAACTCCGGGCGAACCTTATGCATTCAGTCGAAGCAACTGCATCTGAAAAAAGCACATTATAATCAAAGGGCCGACATTTTCGATGCCCTACGATTACGATTTGACGAGCCATGTCGTATTTTGATCAGACCTGCCTCTACTTCCGAACTTTGCGATGTTCTTTGCGCTGATAGTTTCGTCCTTGTTGCCGTTCAAAAGTCGACGCGAGCCTCGACCGCGATTTGCGCCGAAAATCATTTCTGAGTGAATTATCATTAGAGAGCTTTGAAGATCTTTGATACCCTATCTGTTTTTCAGTTTGAAACAAAAGAAGAGGATCATCTATATACAATTTCATTGTTTGTTCTGGTGTTTACACATTGCACAGAGTCGAGTTGATGTTTTATGAATACAAAAGTTAAAAGAACAACATACAGTTCCAAAGAATCAACATGCCTAAAGATGTTACTCTTGTGCGTTGTCAGTTTTGTATGTAGTCATGGGTGTCACAAGTCACACTTCGCAGTTTTTTTGCTTGCAATTCTGGAACCTCGGAATAAATACTTATAGAACACATCCAAAACAATTTTGTCCCTACTTTCACCGTGTTCTATACCTTATTATCCTGCCTTTGGATCTTCAGGGCCCCATAATCATTCCTCCTAAGATCCTCTATTGTCCCCCTTGTTGTCTAATTCTGGGTTGGTTCTCGCCCTCAACCCAAGCCTTTCACGAAATGCACTGCACCTCAGTCGCATAGCTACAAAATCCTCTGTTGCTTGACGAACACACTCGCTCATTCGCTCAAGACGCTCCATTTCCATAGCGATATTAGACTCCGAACGTGAAAGCTTTTTGCGGATCTGAGTCAATAGTTCTTGCTGCTTAGCGATGTCGGCCTCAATTTCGCGGATCTTAAATTTGATCCCCGGCTTTGTATCATCGTCAGGCTTAATAAGGGCCTGCTCTTCTGTGGTTTCCTCGTTTGGGGATCGATCGGGCCTGAGAGACATTAGTAGTTATCGATGGACTTCTGTGTGTCCCTGTCGAGTGAGGCACTGTAGCTGATAGTTGTATAGAAATTAACCTCTATTTTTGAGGGTGCGGCAGTGGTTTGAGAGGAGAAAGAGCACAACCAGAGGTAGCATAACGTTTTTATGTTGGTTTAAATGCTTTTGAAAAGTGTTATAGGAGTTGTGATATTTATCATTAAAGGCAGTAGGTTGAATCCATGATTATAGGAAAAATCTAGCACACCATCAGGAAATTGGCGGAATAAGCTACCCAGGAATACAATGTGTGCATGAACATGCCGTTTTCAACACCTTTCATCATATTCGCACGAGAACGGTAAATTCCACTCGCTTGGATATGTAGGCTATATATACTATATGTATTCAGAAAAGAGCAGGGTTTAGAGTCATAGCAAAATACCACAAACTGGCATGACAAAGATGCATATAAAATACTTGTACTCCATAAACAAAGACTCCATGATGTGATAAAGGGAAAAGTGAGGATCACCTAGCCTGTGCACAACAAAAAAGGAAAGAAAATGCTAGTTACAAAGTAAAAACTGACTTTCAGAGGTGCTTTTTGGGTTCTTTAGAAATTCGGCTAGTTTATTCTTCTTTCGTATTTTCGAGAAGAGCCTGTCTTTCAGCACGTCTCCGTTCTCGCTCTTCTCGTCGGCGATGCCGTCTCTCTTCAAAGGTCTCAATGGCCCTGGAAACAGAGCTATCTTCAATTTCACTTTTGGGAACTGCCTCAGGGCCTCCGATAGCTAGGAAAGCTTTGCGGAAAGACCAAGAGACCGCTTCTTCAACTGGCTTATCGAAGACATATGGTAGAAAGGGAACGATGGATAAGCCGAGCTATTGGCAACGCAAGAGTTAAAACCTATCCACAAAGTAATTGGGAGGTTGAACATACCCCAATGGGAGCCCATGTCCTCAAGAAAGCGGATTTTATACCCTTCAACGCGTTTCCAGAATATCTCACAACCGAATGGATGGTAAACGCCGGCAAGCCCATACTAGCAAGGCCTTGAAACACCGCTCTTTCGGCCATAATCGATCTGTAATCTTCACTCAATGGAATCCTCTTCGTCGGCCATGGCGTCAACGTATCCTCCTCAGGATCATTCCAAGAAATTGAATGAGGATCGGAGGTGACTTTGCCGTACTTTACTAAAGCTTGGTGCTGCCGCAAACCCTCCTTGGCAACGACATGTGAGTCTACGTCTTGGCCAGTGGGAGTCGCGACGGCGGAACGGTATGCCTCGTCTTTGGGGATGAGGATACGTTGGTTCCGCATATACGCCTTGTATCCTTCGTTCGCAACATCTCCAAAGATATAGGCCCAAGATACACCGTAGGCAGTTCGTACAAGCCAGGGGTGTGCTATAGGCCGAAAGGATTCACCGATGTCGGATGTGTAGGCGACATAACGGTGTGCCGAAAGGAGAAGGGTCTTGATGCGTGTCGCGTACGCAGCGTAGCGATAAGGAGTCTCGATGGAATCTGCAGAGCTGCCAGGTGGAGACTGATCAGATATGCCCTTTTCAAAACCACAGGACGTTACAAGGCAAGCGCGCAAAAGCCATGCCTCGGCGAGGGAGCTTAGATCACAGCTTGTCCATACCGGCCGTCATAAAGCTGATCGAGGAATTCTTCTTCTTGGTTGATAAGCTTCTGCAATTCTGGATTCAACTTGCGCCGCCGCGAGGGCCGCCCAACAGTGTCGTCAACCTGTTCGTCCTTCTTGCGATCCCAAAACATGGTGAGGGATGGCTCAGCAAGTCTGGAGGGTGAGACGATCAATTCCGCAGACGTTGGGGGTATAGACGAAGGGAGAAGAGACGTCAGAAACAATTAGTGAGACCAAAACGTAGTGGATGGGAGACGAAGTGAGGAAGCACGCGACTGTTGTTGGATCTTAGACTTCCGTTACTTCAGAGGATTCCTTGTTATTCTTCGGGCCGTTGACATCAGCCCACCCAGCTATCCGAGGGGAAGGCTCAAGGACGAAAAAAGCTACCATCGCCCGCATTGATGGAAGGCACACCCTTTATTACTTTATCCGCGTGTATCCATCGCCATAAGCCTCCGCCCTCCTCTACGGCACAGAAGAGCCCACTGGGTAAATGTTTCATTCCGGGCCTCCCTTGGAGCTCCATCACGGGCTTGGGGCTTCGGGAGAAATGGCGGACACGCGACGACGGAGCACACGTAGCGCCGAAGGTGCTCAGCCAATCATAGCAACCCGGCACCCCGCATTATATAATCAGCCTAATTTGCTGCTTTCTATTGGTCAATCGGCAATTTTCGGTTTTTCTGCTCTGATCTAACCTGAAATAGACTAGCGGATACTCGACACAGCTGATGTAAACATTGTAATATCACGTGATTATCACAAATCGTCGACGTCTTTGGGAAACCGCAGTTTATCGCTGGACCGATCCAACGCGAACTCCTCGACGGATTGTGAGCTGCATTTGCTACCGGACAGAACATCACTTCGGTCCTTGACCTTCTTCTGCCCTGCTTTTGACCTTCTTTCTTACAACTCCTTCTCACAATGGTGGTTTACTATCAAGTTGCCGGCCGCAAAGTCGGCTCCCACGTTGTATGTGTGCCCTTGCGATCCCCGGACCCATACGGCCGTGCTATACCATTCGGCTGTTTCACTGGAGATATATTCTATATGTCGATGATGTTACGATTAAGAAATTCCGCTGATGTCTTATTAACAGCTCGCAATGGCCACTCTTGGTACAACATTCGCCGGCGCTTGGCTCGCAATGCCTTCATCTTCCAAAAAGAAGGAACAGGGCCCTCCAATCAAGGCTAGCAGTAAGGATGAGGAGCAGTTTATCCAGTATGTTGCCGGAACGCGTTTACTCCTCCCTCGTTAAAACGATTGGACCTCCCCACCCCATATTACTGTCCGCTCCTAACTTTTTGTTTCTTCTCTATCATCAGAGAATTCTTGAAAAACGTTGAAGCCGAGGAAAAGAAGGCGAAAGCGTAATCATCGAACTTTTGTGACCGTCAACCCCGAAAATGTATACGCTTACAGCCCCAGCTCTTTGATATGCTCTTGATACCGACGTTTGGGAAGAAATTGCCGCGGAACTTTGTGTGCCCGGGTCTCGCCAAGGGTTAAACCGAAGGTGCCTCATATGTACAGATATTATTTCGAAATATAGACACCAAATGGCATGATAGATTCGTTATGACACTGTTTTGGGTAATTACCTGCTTTTCAAAAAGGGTGGGATGGAGTACGACTTACCACTACACAAGCTAAGGAGAGCGGACCTTCTTTGCAAGAGACCTCAGAGCTTTTACTGTCAATACCCTAATGCAGCAAATCCACTTTACGTCTTTAAGGGCGTTGCGAATACCTCTTCCTGCATATGTAGATGCATGTTAGGGTCAATATCCAAGCTTTATCGCAGAGCATTTGCTAACTAAAGTCCAGGGTATATGACATAGATATACAAAGACAAGACCACACAAGAAAGCTGGCAACAAGATCATCATCTGGGCGTCTCGAATTTGGAGTTTGGGTTATATCAACGAAACCGGGGAAACACTAACAAAAGAAAATGAATTGTCGCTTCTTATGGTCGCAACTCCAGGCTTCCGGTCGGACTAACTGGCCTCCCGATTTTAACCGCTGCTGTTTTCCCCTTCAAATCCATGATTATACTGAAAAGAGACGCCATTTGGCTATTTTCTGTGGGTGCGCGACAGATCCCGGTTGGGTAACCCTTCTCGTCCTCCAAAATCTTATTCATGGCGTCAAACCCTGGCCGCGACCCGGCCGCGCCTGTCAATTCTCTAATCCGACGCAATCGAGGTTCACTGTCCGCTAAATATAGTATTGGATTGACGTTAATGTGCTCATGCACAAAATGATTGGAATGGGTGATAACGCCAGGGCATGGTTCTCCTTCATCGCCCATGTTCAGCCGTACAATGTCGTAGGCTGAGCATTCTAGTCCAGTTCCACCTGTGTGATCTGCGACGAGAATATGGCATGCAGACGCCACGCCAAGCTTCTCAAGTTTCTCAACGGCCTCAGCACGCGAGCTGCTGTTGAGCACCGTGCGGAGGGCGAGGTGACATGGAATCTTATTGAAATCGACTCCGGCGCATTTGATGGCATTTAGTGTGACGCCTACACCGCAGGAGTTTAAGCCAATTTTGCCAATGATTCCAGCCTCGGTGATCATGTGGATTGAAGGCTTGGAAGATTGAGAAGGGCGGATATGCATCGAGACCAGGTTCGGGGATTGCGCTTTATCCCACTTTGGCGGACATTAGTTCCTGTCTTCGTACACTTTTTGCGACACGTCGTTGAGAAAAAGGGCGAGCTTACATCCCAGTTTTGACCTAGAAAGCTTTCTGTCTCCGATTTCCAAGAGAACGCCGTGCATCCGTCACTGAACATTCCGTATGCTAGCTCTGTTCGGACATTAAGAGCGAGGATGGTTTCCATATCCACATCAGCCCCCTGTGCAATACCTATTGAAGTTTATTAGGACTTTGTAGCACGAGAAAGACCGTGGAAAGGAGGTTTCTCCCTTCTCACCTTTTATCTCTTGTAAATACTCCGGAAACGAAGCTTCTAGCAACGGGATGAATTTTGCTGCCGTTCGACACACCTCCTGCCAATCCATAGAGCATTTCTTTTTAAAGAGATCATTGTAAAACTCTATACTGCCTTGGATTTCGGACTTGGCTTGCTGGCCATGTTGCAGGCCGATCTAGTTCGAGTCTTCGTGAGCTATGGGCTTTCTTTGGGGGAAAAGCCACTAGGACTGATGTACCTCAGACGGAGTACCTTGACAAGTTATCGAGCGCATTGTGAACTTGCGTCTTCCCTACAAAATATCCTTTCGGACCCTAGCGACAAGCTTTCGGGAACTATTTATGGTGAGGATGCTTGAACCGAACAGGAAATGGATACTTTCAAAAGAAGAAACATTGCAACTGAACTAGCGACAGGATTCATGACATTTATAAGGATGTCTCTATTGAATTCCTTCCCCGCGTCGGTGATGAAAACAGCAGCACCAGATGGCCGCGGAGAGATGCCGATTACCGAGCGGGTGTCATACTAAGTTTGGGAACCGCATTCGGGCCGAAGAGCGAGTCAATTCGGATTGTGTGGAGTGGTGCCAATCTACACTTACAAGGAGAATGTACTCCGTATATAGATATATTATGTGATTGAATACCATCATAGCTCAAGAGCCATAGCTCCTTTCAAAATCCATGAAAGTGCCGAGAACTCTCGTCAAGTTGCATATCGAATATTGATAGTAAGAAAGTGAAGCAGATGTGCAGGCTGGGACAAAGCTGTTACAGAAGCACACATCCGCATTACGTGTGTATGATGTGACTTCGTATATAGAAGAGAATCTAATATGAAGGGAAATACTCCGCGGTTAGACATCAGGTATCCCCAGGTCCGAGCAGCTCAGCTTTTACGAGCTTCGGTAATCCGATTGCGTATTCTGTAGCCTAGAGAGATCGAAAACTCAAACATGGCCACGGTAATGGAGGAAAACACGAGCATTGAATCGCAACAGCTTCTTCTAGCAGCAAAACCAGGGCACTAGCGGAAAGAAAAAGATAGCAAGAGAAAGGAATCTTTCCTTTGGCTGCTGACGGGTTCAAACACACGACTCTGGACCCAGTGATATGCGGAGGAAACGCATCACACACATCGCTACTTCGTACTATAATAAAAGTACTCCGTACGTACACCGTGTACCTCCTTGGAACAGGACTGCCGTTTAGGACGCTCCACTGCGCAGGGAGGACGAACTAGTGAGGCCTCACAAAAGGGAAGGTCGTGCCTTAGGCAAAGGTAGAGAGGCATGTGGCCATGTGGCTAACCTCATTCGCTAGTTGTTCATCCGCTTTGTTTATTGAGGACTTGAGAAAGGTCGCGCTTCGAAAAGTCGATATCTCCAGGGGTCTTGGCCAAGACCCCTGCTTATATCATCATTCAAGGGATTTCGACGCGCCACCTGGAACTCCACGCTGCCTCGACAGCTCGACTTTTTGTACGAGGGTTTTTCCTGGAATTTCTATCTGTATTACCGAATGAAGGCCATTCCGTTCCCTTTATGCCTGAATGTCGGCACTGATATAGTGCACATTCCTCGAATCTTTCGCTTGGTCACTCGTCCATCCGCTGGCACCCACAACTATTTCAACCGGTTTATACGGCGCATTTTGTCTGAGCAGGAACAAGCCTACTTTCTGTCTAAATTTCCACAATATCAACCACAGCTTTCCCAGACGATACCTCAGTCATCACAGTTGCTCAACGCGTCGAATGCCAACGATGTAGCGAGATGGTTAGCCGGTCGCTTTGCTGCTAAGGAAGCGGCAAGGAAGGCAGCACCCGGCGGCGCTGCAAGCATTAGTTGGAAAGAAGTTATCGTCAGACACGAGCCCAAGGGGGACGGAAGACCTGAGGTGGTGTATTTAAGGAACGGGGAAGAAGTCGGCCGAATTGGCAAATTATCCATTTCCCACGATGGGGAGTATGTTGTTGCAACGGTCATCGCGGCGTCTCCAAGTGAATGAAAAAACTCCAGGACGACGAAAGCATTGTTTTCCTCAAAGTTAAAACCACCATCGCTCAAGAGGAGGCTGTGTGCATGCACGCCTTTGACACTCCCGCCCTCTCTCGGGTAATAAACTGGGTGCCTGGGCTATGAATGTGATGAATCAAAAAGCAGCCAATCCCTCAAACTCATTATGTCTGGCCAACTCCATGCCAGAATTACGCCGCTCCTGTCTCAATTTCCACATTACGCCGCTACAAAGCAGATATATAGGAATTGGTGTTTTGAAGCTTTCCCTCTTCCGGGACAGTAGGACCTTGAATGTCTTGCGACTTATTTGTTACTGATCGTGGGCCATCCTGTTGTACCGTCGAACATTCCACATGCAACAGCTCGTCGTAATCATTGGACCTTGGACAGGACCTCAGGATTTCCGCGATGCAGGAACGCCATGTGATGCACATCTTGACAAAGGTACCTCGGTACTATGATTACGCCCAATCAGGAGACTTTGGGAGATATATCTGCATTCTTCAGCCCGCATTACACTAAAAGAGGCCCATCAAGGGAATGGCAGCGGAAGTCCAAGTCTTGAGCTTATCAGGAGCCGATAAGCTCGGCGTGGTCGTCTTTAGTGGGTCGGACGGAGGCCCCTGGTCCCTGTAGAGAAGCGCTGTGTTGATCGTTGTGATCACCGGCCGTTGCTGTCAATACAACTGTTTATAATAATGGCGCAAAGAAGATGGACCTGGAATTGTAGAAGTCTTTATATATGGATTATTGACTGTGATCTAACTGAGTCTTGTTTTTCTCCTCTTCACAGAATTTTGAGTTTCTGCAACTGTTATTTCAACCACGAACAACCCCACCACAAAGAGCAGCTAAAGGTGCATGTTTTTTCTGGTAATTAACAGGCTTCTATCGCAAGATTCAAGCCTGTGGAACTTGACATCACCACTAATAGCAGAATCTCAGGAGGAAGTCTTGTCAAGGTTTCATTTGCGGTGACAAGTTGTGTGGTGAGTCGAACCTGCTGGTAATACGCGGTCTTCCCAGGCCCATTCACGCCATCACTGCTCAACAAGCCTTCCTGCTGTTTGTTTTAAATAGGATGCGCTTGTGTTTCTTTTGCATTGGTGGACAGCAACTAAAACATCGTCTAGGTTGGCCATTACATTGTCTACCTTTGCACATTGTTCGACTTACTGATCTTAATATCGGTGTAAGCTTTGGTTCTCTTCTGGGTATATTGACGACACATCAATATGCCTTTCTCTCACCATAGTCATTCCGGGCAGTTCTGCCCCGGCCATGCGAAAGACTTGCTGGAAGAAGTAATTCAAGCAGCAATTCAAAAGGACATGCGTGTATTCTGCCTTACAGAGCATATGCCTCGACATACTGAGGATCTCTACCCGGAAGAAGTGCGTGTGGCCCTATATATGTCGCTTTTGTCGCTTGCCAGATCTCAAACGCTTGAGCTTGCTAGAATATTTCGAAATGTCTAATCGATTTCCAGGTCGGGATAAACACACTTGAAACTATGTTGGAAGTTGAAGCTGCCTACTTTAAAGAGGCCACTCGTCTTCGAGAAAAGTACCAGTCTCAGATCAACCTTCCAATTGGGTTCGAGTGTGACTGGATTCGTCCTTCGTCCTTGGACTTGATTAAACAGTCTTTGGACAAGTACCCCTTCGACTTCTTTATCGGTTCCGTTCATCATGTTCACACCATTCCTATTGATTACGATAGGGATTTCTACATCCGCGCTAGGGAGATATCCGGCGGAACGGATGAAAAGATATTTGGAGACTACTTCGATAGCCAATACAAAATGCTGATGGAATTAAAGCCTCCTGTTGTTGGACATTTTGACCTTATTAGGTTGATGAGTGAGAGCCCGGATAGGAGTTTTAAGCATTGGCCCAATGTCTGGGAAAAGATCTTGAGAAACCTGGACTTTGTTGCTGGATATGGTGGCATTCTGGAACTTAACTCGGCCAGTCTACGGAAAGGGATGGTTGAACCATACCCAAAAGCTGAGATCTGCAAGGTGAGGACGTATGTCAAAATTTTACGCATGAATCGGTTATTTAACCCAATCTCTCCTCTCTTATTATAGGAATTTATAGCAAGAAACGGTCGGTTCTGCCTGTCAGACGACAGCCATGGGGTGCACCATGTGGCACTGAATTATAGCCGAGTCCGTGATTTTCTTGACACTGCTGGTATCACTACCATTCATTATCTCAAGTATGAGCCCGACTCAACGGCTCCGGCTGATGATTTCCGTTTTCCCAATATGAGGATTGGCTCTATAAGCGTGGAGGACCTTAAGAAAGAATCCTTCTGGGAAATAACGGCATAGTGGGAGAGGGGCTAGCCTTAACACCAGGGTGAAAGAGCTGACCTTGAAGGCAGCGAAAATTTCGCCATGTTGTACTGTGTACACTATTTTGTATCCAAACAAATAGTCTACCAAGATAGAAACAGAATGAATACGCTTATTCTATTCTGAACATTCCATTCTTTAGTTCTGGCGCCTCGAAAGCCAGAAGTTATCGCGGTCATTTTATGGTCTATCGTAGGAATCCTGGCCAGCTAGATTATGGCCACAGCGCAAGAATTAATTCCACGGACGGATTGTTTTGGCCGCCGCAACGTCAGAAATGTCAAGCTCTTCCACTTTGTGTTAAAATCGGTGAAGAGGTTCTGAACATAGTCCATTGCCTCTTTGGTTCCCTTTCCCGTTATTGTCCAGGCTCCTCCTTTTCAAGATGAATGCCGCAAGGGGAGCAAAACTCCCGACCTTTTTCCAACGAGCATCGAAGCCCCTACGAATAAAAGGCGTGAGCCTCTTCCATATATTCTATTCCCCAGAGAATCTTATTCCTTACATTGCCGCCCGCTACCTTAACGACTTTGATCACCCAATTCGTCCGAAGGTCGTCCATATGTATCAAACCCGCGAACGCGGTATACTGTGGTGGACAGTGGTGGATGGATACCTCGTGTCTTCGCTGAAGCCAGTCGTTCGATCCTGGTGCGCGAGACGCGTTAGAACGGCCTTTGAAGCTGTGCTGAAGGAACGCGGCTATAATACGGAAGGAAAGAAGCTCATTCGCGATAGCCAGGGCCATGTGACAGGGGCGGAGAAAGCGTTGAAGGGAACGATGGAGATTCGCATGGTTGAGCCGGTCATGAAGGCGGGCTACGAAAAGATTGTGGAGCAAGCCAGGCTTCTTGTCGACCATTTGGAAAACAAGCAAGTATGGGAAGGAAAAAGGAATCAGCAACAAGCACAGACGCGACAGACGCGGGGACCAGAGCAAAAAACACGAGGGAAACGACCCTCGAATATGCATTGGCGGAAAACGTGATGTGCTTCGCGGGGATAATATATACGTGATTTACACTGCCTCTTTAGCGAATGGATTCCAAAGGATCGTGTTTACATCCAGGAATCACCCGATATGTGGCATCTATGGAGAGGATCTCATCCATCGTCTACCAGGACCCTGTGGAAACTTACAAGGCGCCCAGTGTCTGTCCCGAGGAGGGCATCTTTATACTTGAGAATTGCCTTCAAACCCTTTGTGTCGACAACCTAAGCCATTGTAGGAGGTCTATGGCAAATTATTGATTCCTAGGATTCCTCGGGAGGTTAAAACGTGTGTCTCTGTTCACATTAGCGGTACCGATATTCAATCCACCGATCGATTGTCGAGGAATCAAGGCCTTTCATATCAAATGCTAAAGCTCAGCAAGTCCTTTTCAATATTAAATTGTGTCCCATATGTCGACACTGACTGTCCACCTTCAACCCTTGGTTCAATCACCTTCCTCTGTCCCAGAGATGCTATTAAATCAGGCTCAGCATGGTTGCCGGATATCATTACATCATTGTCTTGATGTAATCCAACTGCTTTTGTCGCATCCTTGTCACGTTTGAGGACATAGTGTTCAACCGAAACTAAATCCTCTCACCTCCGGCATCCAGGTGACTTTATGACTCTTCACAGTATGAGGAGTATGTGTGGTTCAGCCATCACTCTTGATTTCACTTTGCTTTTGCTTTTGTGCCTACTTCGCATTTACCTCTCTATAATTCCTTGATTTATATGACAAATCCTTCCGTATAGACCATGCTCTCTGGATTTCTGAGGTTTTCACTCTTTGGAATTCATTCCCTCACCGCTTGGTAGCCAAGGACGAAAATTGCTCCCCGTATCGACCCTTTACTTCTGTATCCCACATATGCTCTCTCTGTGTAACATACCAGAATACCTCCCTTTCACCATCGTCCCGGGACCCGTTTCTATAGCCTATCAATTTTTATACTCTAAGGACTTACCAATTGGAGACCATTTTATCAACTCGTTGCCTCAATTCAACGGAAAAATTCAATATTACTCTATTTTGTTCATTTCAAAAAGTTCCGTGAGCCTTCGAATATCCTATGTTCACATAAAGATAGTACATCGCAACTAAAAAGTGCTGTTGAAGATTTTATCGCATGACAATACTTCGTGCATCGCGACAGTATAGGATTCCGACGATGTCCTGAAAGCTGGAACGATCCATCGGAAGTACGGTGACTGATGTTATCTTCTAGAAGTACCCCAAGATTATGACCACTTGAAAGGTGAATCAAGTGCCTCATGGATTATCGTCGACAGGTCTTCTGGATATCAGAACCGGTGTAGGAAGTTTCTGAATAACTAGACAACTACGCGGGTATAGCCCAACCTGCTGAGAGCCTCCCCATATACACCTATCAGCTTTCCAAGTTAAGAACTCTCCACGCAAAGATGTGAAAAGTTGCAAGCGAGCGTTATGGGCTGCTGCTCTGTCTTAGTCTTTACCAACTCGACGAATCGACTTTTGATATGCCTTAATTCCTTAGACGTCCATAGAAAGATGCGCGATAGCAGTTACCTGTGAAATGATCAACTGTCCACTTGTTCCGATTTGTTGAGATTCTACCCATCCTGCGGGGAATATGCCTTACCGGGCGATTAAGTACATTTTGAACATATCGCTGTGAGCATGCCCTGAGCAAGAGCAGTGCACTTAACCAAGGGCTCCCCAACCTTTACAGATGAACAGAAAGGAGTTTGCATCCAAGTCCTCTCAGACATACATACAAGAATTTTGCATGGTGATAGAAATGAAGAGCTGCACACTGTTCTAGTCCCTGCTGGCTAAGGTTTGGTTGGGGGAAAATCCTCCAGAGACATGTCGAAAATCATTCCAAGAATAAGAACCATCAAGGTGGCCGTCAACACCCGTGATTGTGCGTGGATCCTCCCAAAATCCTGACGACATGATAATTTGGAACTTTAGTTTTATAAGTTGCGCATTCAAGGCATGCCAAAAAAACACCAATCTACGCTGTTTACAGGCGCAGGTGTCTATCCAAAATCTCAATTCACATTGACATCAACTATGTACATGAAAATATCAAATGGATTCTGGGCTCCGATCTGGCTCAATCATGACAGATTATTTTCCGGCACGGAACTGTCTCCACATAGAGCTCATACGAGTACCCTGGCCTCTGGTGAATTGGTTCATGCAGGAGCTGCGCGCTTTACGTTAGCCCTTATTCAAATAAAATCACTTCGGAGGGGGTCAATTCGGTGAGAAGGCATGAGGCCACTTACTCAACAGAGTAGTCCATGTAGTTGTGGATTGGGTCAACACCACCACCGGGGCACGAATCACGGCCAACAGGGCAGCCGGAGCTTGGGCTGCGCTGGGGTGGGGTGTCGCTGACGTAGTCACCCTGTCCAGAGCAGCCACCTTGGAAGGTGTGGAAGAGACCTGACGGGAGTTAACAGGACATGATAAGCATGGAGTTTAAATATATTTTAAAAACAGTTAGAAGAGTTCTGGATGGCGGACTTACCCATCCAGTGGCCAACCTCGTGGGTGGCTGTTTTGCCCAGGTCGTAAGGGGCTCCGCTGCCACCGGGCACACTAGAGGACAGAACAGAGCATCCATCACGGATGAAGGTGGTCGAGCCGGGAGCGGCATTGGTGGGGAAGTAGCAATACTATATTGAATTAGCGTTTGCAAGAGAATGTGTGGTAGTACACTTTTGCTCCAGGGTATTCGTACCCCCAACGCTCCACCAAGGTCCTTCAAGAAGTAAACATTAAGAGCAGCGTAGCCTCCTTTGCGGAGAGAGCGCTTCATGGCAATCTCATTTCCGTCTGAAGCCCAGCTTGGATTGATCGTTCTGGTCGTTTCTCGCAAGTTGAAATGAACTCCGTGAGGGGCATAGTCCTCATTCATGACCCGGATTTGGTCGGACAACATTTGATCCTTTTTGTTTCGTTAGCAGATCATATCCCGTTTTGAGTCTAACCGGCTCTAGGGCTGTCATCTTACGCTGATGTAACCATCACGCTCTGATCTACTCGAAGCGACGACATGGAAATAAGTCTCGACCTCAATAGGGGCCTGCAAATCGGCGAACGCTCCGCTTTCTTCCAGAGCAGCGACTTTTTCTGACGCTTCAAAGAATTCTGGAGGTGGTACAGAGCCACAAGTTCGACGCCCAGCGTTGGGGGCGGCAGCGGCCAGGGAGCCAAAGGCCAGGGCCAACACAGGAACGGAGACACGCATAACGAAAATCTTGGGACGAACAGAGATAAGGCTAGATCTGGTGAAGAGCCGATGTTTCAAACCGAGAACAATAAGTCGATGGCTCAGGGTCCTGGGAGTTCGGCTTTTATATACCACTTTTCCACCCCGGGATTGGGAGCACGGCTTCGACCGGATTCTAGGTGGCGTTCAACCAAATACAATTGCACACAAATTGCTATCTGAGCCCTTGCCTTGCCCGGGAATTTTCATTTTTGCCCTTCCGCCGCAGCGTAACATCGGGGTCGTGGGAACATGACCCAATGGGGCGCTTCTATTGAGATTGAAGAAACTCTTCCGGTGACAGCATGATGCCGCTTCTATGCAGTAAACAGCATGACAACCCGAATCTAGTCTCTCATCGCGAGGAATTTACCGGCCAAGAATCGGCCATAGCAATATTATACGGATGTCCCGGGCGCATAGTGGAATCATACTTACCAGGGATCCTTCCGCTTCTCGTGGACGAATCGATTCCTGTTTGAAATTACCAAGCCCAGAGAAATGTCGACTGGTAGCGGAAAATTCTCTTCACGTGGGCCTTTCACTAAGGATATAAAAGTGCTTCCCGAGGTCGAGCGAATGTGCTCTCTGAAGAGAGTTCTGGAAGTGTCTCTCCCACGGGGAGATGGGAGACACGGTGGGATCAGCATGATGTGGGTACTTCCCCAGCCGATCTCCAGGGCCCGCTAGCATCTGGAGAAGTGACAATGACGGGGTATGGTGGTATCGACGGTGGTCCATTTGACAGGAAGGTTTGGTCTCTTGCGCAGTGCCAAATGCGGAGGTGGTGAGTATGACATCGTCACAATCTAGAGTCTCGTGAGAAAAATCGGACATTTCGACATTGAAGAAAGTACTCACATCTGTACATCTTCGCTTCTACGATCTAAGATCTATCCTCACTCGGTGAGAGTCGATCTTGGTTGTGTCGGCATCCCTGCCCGTTCGGGCGTCCGCAACATAGTGATCGGCGTTTCTGACCATGTCACCCTGAGCCGGGAACAGCCATGGGGAAACGCCTCTTGGCAACAACCAAAAGGAAAGCGGTGTTTTAGCAGGATTCCCGGAGGTGAACCTAAATCGTACGGAACGAGCGACGAACCCGGGTAAGATCATCTCCCGTCCTCGACATGAAGAAGGCGACCGGAGCGTTGGAGAGATGACAGGATCGCCACTTTCTGCGCACCTCAGCCCGCACCTCAGCCCTTGCAAACAGAACATGCTGCTTTATCAGAGGTACACATCCATTCCAACAAGGTCAACTGTTAATTCTCAATTTTAGGATTCATCTCCCATGTTCTAGTCCCAAACAAACTACCACCTGGTCCGAAGCTTTCGGGGTCATTTAAGACCACCGGATCCACTTGTCAAAGATTAGCTGACAGTCAGTCTTCAAGCAATAAAATGGTCAGCTTGACTTTGTGTTAGGCCTTTTATCAGAATGTACTCCGTAGTTGTAAAAACCGGCGGTGTATGGAGTAGGTTGAAGGATCCGGGGCCTACACCCAAGGAGGGGTGTCATGGAATTGGGTTGTATTCGGGTGAGTTCCTATCCATCTAGAACGCGTGATGTTGAAATGAGATGCTAGTCACGGAGTATTAGTTTGATTTTGTTTCTTTCCCAGCATTACGATTTTATCCCATATAAGATACGATCGATGCCGTTGATAGAGAACGTTTGCTGAGATGGATTTGATGGCGCATGCAGTAGGTCGAGTAGAGGTCTCTGATACCAGTACTGCGGAACCGCTATAAAAGTGTGTGCTCTCATCATCACTGCATACTGATGTTGAAAACGTGGGGCAGCAGTTACGTACTGCCATGATATCCAGATTAGGAGGCCAAAAACTTAGTAGTACCGGGGATCAGCTTCACTCAATTTCTTGGGTATGATGGCAGCAGCACGCTCCGTAGGTAGCCAGTAAAGGGATTAGCCAATGATAGAGGAATTTTGGTCGTTCAGACTGCACCTATTTAGTACTCCATATGTCCGAATCGACAGGCCAATGTTTCTCACCTATCCATCTTCATTCCAGAGAAGAGTTCTACTCCGGATATAATTGGGCGACTTCATAGTTAACAACAGGATCGAACCAGCCTTTAGCAAATGTTTGCATCTTCGCCGAAGTCCGGAGTACAATTGGAGTTTTTTGAGTCCTCTTTTATGATCCACACAAAAGAGCTAGGAAGGTTGTCGCCTTGTTTGGTCCTGTACTCCGTATGGAGTACTCCGTACAAGGAGTTGGTAAAGTTTGACAGCTCACAAGGATCCATCCCATCAGTGGGCTGATCGACGGGAATCGACGCGAAACAATCCCCCGTGTTGCTCTCTCAGCGCAGATCGACTCGGCTGCAAAATCCGACCGGAAATTGCCCAACAGCTGGCTATGTCACGTGATACACGGCATTCACCTCTGCATAAATGTTTCGATCCCATCCAACTCCTTTTCTGTCAGCAACTGAAATCGATCTTCAAGATCACCAGCCGCAAATAATCTTCTATCAGCTCTGGCTCAAAAAATCATATCAAATGCCCAACTCCTCCTTGCGACATACTTAACCAAGATATCCCAGATTCCCAGTTCTATTTCACATGCTCCAAGAGCCTGTTCTTTTCTGTCGTCATTCCATGTTGGATAACCGTCTCTTCTTTTTCTTGAAATGTTTCAAACAAAGTTTTCGAGCACTTTTCATAGTTTCGAGTCCAATCATCAAGCCTGTCGGGCCAGTATCCAGGAAGTTCCAGTAATAGTCAGAGCAGAGGGCTTCTAGCAAACTTTGCTGGTGCAACATATGTGAACTTCCAGTCAATCGTTCCTGCGACCTTGAGTTCGGTGTTAGCAAAAACACTTGGGGCGAAAGTCATCAGGGAATAATTTAAAAAGGGCCATCATCATACTTTTCAGAGACGGCATCATTGGGCAAGCTTGCGGAATAGACATCGAGCAATATAGTTCTGTCTGCAGTCCTCCACTGAACTGTTAGCATCATTCCTTTGGCTAATCAAGTGATTCATGTGCATCTCAGCCAGCGCAAGGAAGTATGAAGAGGCCGTTTTAAAGGTAGTTTGACGTAATAGATTCAACGGCATATTTCCCATCTAGACGATTTTGGTGCGTCTAGGCGGCCTAGAACATTGAGTGCGTCAACAAGATCATGGTCATATGTTTTGTCAGATAATTACTTTTTTTTTTTTTTTTTTTTTTTTCATTCCTAGCTGGGTACAAGCCATGCTGATGCCACTCAAATGTTGATATATCTTTTTGCTCATAGGCTAGCATTTGACTGATGTGTGGATAGAATGGGGTGAAATGTTGGTCTGGTTGCCAGTATTTCTGAGCCCAGATTGCCTTCTTCATTTGCTGGACACTGGTGCAATCAATGCGTATGATTCTAGAAATATCATTACTCAGTTTGAGAAGCATATTATGGGAGGAGATTGTCAACTGCACAGAAGTTTGCATTACCTCAAGAAGATGTAAGGCAACTGAGGTGCTGAACACACATGGACTGCTCAGCCACTTGTAGCAATCTTTCTCAGTGCCTCGTTATCTGCCTGTTTGTGCTTTGTCCTCGGGGTTCATCATTTGTGCTGAAGTATCCTTTGCTTTTTTTTTTTCTTCCTTTCTTGGAATTGATCAACTTGTGGGGTTTCTGACTTCTCAACTCCGTATGTATTATTTGCTCTGAAGCGAAGTGGCTTTGGCATCCATCTATTCCCTAAAGCCATCTTTGGTTTCATTGCCCTTTGAAATTAGGACTTATAAACTTCATAAATTTATTAAGAGCAGTTACCCATCCTGGAATGATCCATGATTTGTTGCTAGAAGCACATTGAAACACAGGTGGCTGTGGGGGAATATGCCCTTTTTGTGTCTGTTTGACTGCAAGACTACCTTGATCGAGCTTCAATGACCATGATCTATCTATTTAGCCCTACGGCATTCAGGGCTCTCTTTTTATCAAAAGTGGAAACAACCAAGACAGCTGCTATGAAATTATCCAACATATCAACTAGAAGACTGGACCCAAATAATGGCGGCTTGGAGAAAGGACCCGGCCACAAACAGCAAATGGACTCTCTCAGAGGCATAAATGTCAGACTGATAAGTTGAATCCTGCGCGGTAACCTCAGCATCCACAACGTGTTGATCACAGCTCGATTCCCACCAATTTTCAAGAAATTGGTTCAACTTTTCTTAACACTTCTTTGATGCTTTATTGTATAGCTTCAATCGCTCATCCGTCAAATTTTTACAATCTTAGTCCTCCATTATAAAAAGATACCACTTTCAGCAGTTGACGCCCGGAAAGATAGCTTACCACTGGTTGTCGAAACCTGCTCGGTAACAAAGGATCACCCCATGGCTTTCCGCAGCTAGGTAAGATTATACGTCAACTTGGAAAAGGCTTCGCCGTTTCCGTTTAATGGCATGGCTATGAGTGGCTTTCGGCCTTGAGCTGGTTAATAGTCTTTTCCGCACCAGCCGCGCTTTGTCGAAGTCGATCAGCATTGGTCGGGATAGCTCTGAATTCCAGGTGACATTGGCAGGACGAACATCCCCATGGACCACACCATACCGACCCAACTCCTTTTGCAGTCTTCTCGCCTCCTGATGAAAGTCACAATGCTGCGAATAATCTAAGCTGTCTCCAGCCCAGGAGAGGAGCAGATAGTGGACAATCCGATCCAAACCATCTGTGATGAATGGCTCTTTTAGGTTAACACTCCCCAGGCAGACCGGAATCAAACTACCTTGAAGCTTGCTGAGGTATTCATACACTTTAGCCTCATGTTGGAGATGATGGATCAACCCTTCGATCGTTCCTTTCCCCACGAAAGTATAGCCGTATTTGGCCAGTGTCATCTTAAAGAGAATACCGTAGGCCCCAAAGAACTTCAAAGGTCTGCATCCATTATCTCGGTCGTTGTTAAGCTGAGCTTCAAGTAGTGCAGCAACTCTCGCTGTAAGAATCGGATGATTGTCATCCTGGCTCATTGTTCGGTGAAGAGTGATGTTGGGACATGCTTGATCTAAAGCAGCCCTATTGGCCAAACCAGCAAGGCACTTTTGTGTGCAGTATTGACGTTCTGGCTCCCGATTACGTCTGCGCTCCTCCTGCGACTGCTGCTGTCGTTTTGCTGCAGGGGGTCGAGGTGGAGATATAACCACTGCGAATCGTTTGGATCCCCATTTGCTCATTGCATTACGGTTGCTGGGATCGTCCCCCTCAGAGCTATCCGAGGGTGAATCTTCGGCCGTGTCATCCGAGTCCGCACAGCGACCTTGCAGTCGACGTGATCGACGAGATTGTTCCTGTTGGATAGGACTGGAAAGCGGGCTTGATGGGACAAAGCTCGACCCAGATGGCGTTCGGCTTCTCTCCTCAGCTGGCATCTTCGCCAAGATGTACTCTACATCAATAGCCCATGTGTGAAGAATGGAAAATGCATGAGATCGCCACTCTTGGTCCCTTTTCTGTGAACCCAAGGCCAGGAGACATAGCGAAAGGAGCGATGATACTGCTGTGTTAGGGGATGCTGAGCTTCGATGTCACGAACAGGTTCAGAGAGGTGGTAATATAGTGTAGTTGGGTCATCTTCTTTGATGTGAAGGAAAGTAAAAACTTCACCAGTAGTCAAATACCCATATTCAACCCCTTCTTTAATCATGTAGTCAAATGCCTGAGTGATGGCAGCACCAGTGATCTGCTTTGCTTTGTAAATGAGTTTTTCCTCTTGATCAGTGGGGATCAGGTGAGCCTGCACAACATCTTCCCAGAAGTTTGAGGGTTGCAGTCCCGCCCGTAAATTTGCAGGCAGAAGTTTATGACCAGCTTTGTATTCAATGATGAACAGCAAAGTCTCAACCTCGTCATCTTTTCGAAACCCTGGTGCTTCTGCGGTGTTAGCTCCAGCTCGTCACTGAGGGTATTGGCATGATTTTCAAAGGATATGCCCGACCCGAGCAAAGGAAGGTGGGTGCCAGTATCAAGCTTTAGCAGTTCCTGCATAATGAAGATGACATGTTCTTCAACGGCGAATCGCTCATAGCTCAAGAGGTCGAGCTCGCTGCCTAGTCGTCGACGCGAGACAAGGTCACCGACACCCCTCACCACCTCAGTGGATGGGAACACTTTTAATGGGGGTGCTTCAGTCGGATGAAAGAGAGAGAATACCCTGTTGAAGAGCTCGTTGCGCAGACGGGGAAAATCTGTCCATCGGCGAAGTGTGGTGGGACAGTAGCGACCAGTAGGGGCCGTGATCGAGCCCTTTGTAGTTTTGGACTTCTTCGGTTGAATGTTAAGCGGTACGGTTATGTACTCGTGGCAGGATCGAAGGAAGGTCTCGAAGGTTGTCAGGTTGATTCTGTTCTCCAGGGCTTGTCGAAGTCGTCGCTCATTCTCACGGAGATATTCTGCCTCTTCGGCTCTGGCCTTTGCGTTTTCAGCTATGCCCTCTGCCTGTTCCGCCCTCCTCTCTGCTTCTTTTAGCTGCCTCTGAAGTTCTTCAATCCTAGTATTGATGTCCATTAAGGCCTAAGGTGGCCTCGGGCTTTCGCCAGCCGTAAGTGGAACTCTGTCGGTGTTGTTTTGGGCCAAGGACCCCATTGGATCATAAATATGACAACTTCGATGAAGGCGGGCAGCCGTGCGTTTTATTGTTATGAAATGGGGTGCCTGGCGAGCCAGAGTTATGGGTATGCCGCGACATCACTGAGTCTCCAGGCATCCAGCGCAGATCTTCCTTATCTAATGCAGAGCTTTTCCTCTCATCTGACCTGTAATGTCTTAGGACTCAAATTGATTGGTTTCATGGTTCCTCTTGCTTCTGGACATGCTTAATAGGCCAGCTAGCCTTGAGACTTTAGCCACAATTCAGCCCTTTGGACTTCGGCCCGTTGCGAATCCGGAGCGTTGAATAAAAACATTGAGAAACTGTATACTCCGTACTGCGTAATGACGCTGATTGAAATACTACAAGATGCGATTTACGGAGTACAGTTGGATGCTAATATTTGTCAGAATTACTCTATCGAGAACCGAAAGTACCGGCCGCCTTTAATCATCAAAGTCTCGACCGGCTCTCGTGGTCTGTCTCCGGGGTAATCAGGTTCCCTGCTCGGTATCGATTTATATATGTTAAAATTGAGAGAGAGTCAACTTGAAGTCTTATTACAACGTATTCGAGAAGTACGTTCTACAAGTCAGCAAGGTAGGAAAATCTAGTGCATTGGCTCTTTGAGATATCAGATAGCCACCGACGCATTGCAAATGCATTTTTGCAAAAACCTCTAGAAAACTACGAGTATACAAAAGAAAATTCCCGGAAGAACTGGTTAAATGTTCATCTCACCAGTTTCTAGATCTTTTGTTGTGGCTGTTATCTTAGTTAACTAAACCCTTTTCATGAACACTAAACCCAAAAACCTGGAGGGTTTTTCGAGCAAAATAAAAAAACATACAACAGCCGGGATTCGCTGGTGGTCACCCACCCAACTACTAGCCGGCCGGCGAGTGGCTTAAGTACGGCTGAGCGGACGGGAAGCCCTGTTTTCCACTTCCTATGGTCGTATGTACTTAATATGTAAGTATTAAGGTATTTTACTATAATTGAGTGGGAAAAAAAAAGAATAAGTAGCATATGGTCAAACCCTTTTCACCAGTACTAGTTAACAATGCCTGGGTAACTAGCGGTTATATGGGGGGCGTTTTGGCGTGGTTATAACTATTTTTTATCTTATCAAACGTACACCTCTCAACCACTTCTCTTAACAAACTCACCTCATTGCCAACAAACCAAAACCAAAGATCTTATTAAACAACTTGTCCTCAACTTCTGGGCACTTTGGTGGGCTATGAAGCCCTCTGATATTGCCTTAGCAGGGCGCGCTCTTGACGAGGGCTCTAACAGCAACAAATACCGCCAACATTGACGGAGATATTAGAAAAAGGTCACGAAGCACGATGGTGTGATTTGAAGTCAACTTTTGCTGTCGGGTGCAAAAGCTAAGGAACACAACAAAAACCAATCACACACTTCAGCCTGGAGACAAAGCAAGCCTATATAGCCTGGGAATGGGTACAGATGGGAAGTTTTCCTGCAGCCATGCATGGGTGCCAGCTTTCCCGGCCGATGTGACAGTGGGAATTATATCAGCACACGTGTTATTGCCATGTAGTGACAATGATTGAGGCGCAGATGTTGAAGCTTCCAAAGCGCCAGATCTTCATATCGCTACCTCACACGTCTTTAGGGCGAACATCTAGATTGTGGGCTGCAGCTTCCTGGATCATACATGCATGTGGACTGAGATAGGAGAATAGCTTCCTTGTTTGTCGGCGATACTCCAGCGCAATGAAGATATTGGTCTCTGCAATCCTAGCCCCGGAGAAATTGGACCGACCTTTCAACATACGAAAGCACTACGATGGCTATCGATGATGAAGATCCTCGATTCCGGTCGTGTGTGTCGAGTCTATCAAGGTGTACGGAGGTGTTAACTCTGTAGTTAATGCTTTCAGCCACGCAATGGCCTTTATTACCATCCAACAACCCAAGAATGTTTCCTTCCTGATGTTAGGGATCATCAATAAAGCGTCATGACACTGGGTTAGAGAGCGAATGATAACTTTTTAAAACTGAACTCTCTCACCAGTCCCACAAATACCCATCTCCAACTTTAATACCCGGCTAATGTCAATGACTGCAACAAATGACGACTGCGACTCGGGACGTATATTTCGCGGGATTCATGAGCAAGTTCTTGTCTTGAGCCATCAACAGCGGCAGAGTCCTTGCTGCTGAGGAAATTGCTATGCAACATGTGAAAGAGCAAACAGATATCCCAAGATTTATCTGGCACCATACACTCTCGATAATGGCTGACTTGCAGCAAGTTTTATTCTAGGCACTCCTTTAAAGGATGCTTGGGATAATCAGAACAATATAACAACAAGACATATCTGCATTGAGACTTGGGTTGTGATTTCAAAGCTTCAACACATTGAAAAGCCCTGTGAGTCGCGATATCTCTTCTTTTATCTTACTGATGGATCACCCGCCGCCCAGGACCAATTGACAGCAGGCCTTCACTGCAAAAGCCCACCCCTACTCAACGACAATGCTGTTCACGCCCAAATTCACGAATATTTCTATACAGCTAATAATTAAAGATATACAAGAAAACTGCAATTACACTTCACCTATTCTAATATTTATGAGGCTCTTTAAGTACGAAGACAGGCAGAAATTGATGGATCCGAGGACTCCAAAGCAATGGGATCTGCGCGCCGTTGTAACGGCGGGAGTTTTTTTTATAGCGCAGACAGACCTTCGGAGAACTTTACAGCAATCATGATTATCTGGAGAGATTGGTTTACACCCTGAAACCAGAAAAACACAGATGACCACAAAAACATACAACAGCCGGGATTCGCTGGTGGTCATCCACCCAACTACTAGCCGGCCGGCGAGTAGCTTGAGTATGGCTGAGCGGACGGGAAGCCCTATTTTCTACTTCCTATGGTCGTATGTGCTTGTCATATATCCAAGTCTCCACCTAAGGTCCACCACAATCCACTGTCCAAAAAGCTACTAATAAGGAGCTCAAAGAAAAAAACATACAACAGCCGGGATTCGCTGGTGGTCACCCACCCAACTACTAGCCGGCCGGCAGGTGCCTTAAGTACGGCTGAGCGGACGGGAAGCCCTGTTTTCCACCTCCTATGGTCGTATGTGATCTGTTTATCACTATCTGACACAATATGTGAATCCCAATCAGCTGCCTGGCCAATATTTGTTTTGCAAATCCTATTTCGTTTAAAACTGATAGCTTCTGTCTCTGGGGTCTCAGACTGTCCAGTGTCGCGTGGGATCCAACCTGTAGGGACTGTTTTGCCTAGGTCTCAATATAATAAGCCATTTATCCCTTTGATGATTATTCGAAAACTTGAGACACTCAGCTTGACATTTGAATGTAGATGTTATTCCCCATCTCAATGCCTGCTACAAGTAAGTAGTCCCGGTAAAATATCAGTATTCACCATTCCCCCAACATTTACCATTTGATACTTAGCGGGCTCAACATGTGCTGGAGAGAAGACCCAACATCTGTGAGATATCAGTCTGTATATAAAGTGGATATACCAGAGTAAAACCGCATTATGCGCTGTCCAGAAGCGCAGCCATTGCCCTACAATCAAGAAACAAGAAAAGTGAGCAACTTTACCTGAAGACCAAGGAGAAATCATCGTCAACATATACATCGGCGAGCGGCTGAAGAATAGCCAGAGTTTTCTTGAAATGCTCTTGTACGAATCGATATTGTCCCAGTCTGCACTTTCGTCTCTCCTTTACAAAAACAATCACCCATGTTCGGGAGGTCTTTAAGTCTGAGTGACTTCATATTTGTGGCCCATGGGGTGAATCTTCAGACAATTGAGCAGATTGTGCCTCCAAGATGAAAGGTATCTTGATGAGCCGTAATGAAAAACGATAGAAGTACGACGACCCCGCCGAAGCTGATTGCTATAAACAAACTCTGGGCAAATGGTTATCGTGCAGTCCGAGTTAGTCTAGCTAGTGACACCAGGATAAGCAGCAAAGGGAGACTAAAAGTGCTCTTTTGCCGAACTCTAGCTGTCCGTGTAGATAGTAAATGTCAGTGATACCGCTATAGCAGAATTTTAGGGCTCTGAGATAATAAAAGCTAACTTGTCACTGTTAGGAAACTAGCTGTTAAATCTGATCTGATCCCGATAAAACCAAAAAAAAAAAAAAAAAAGGCCTCCTTAACTGGATCAGAAAATTTCAATGATTGCGAAATAGAGCAACCCAATAATTATATTTTACAGTAAGATGAGAGAAAAAGAGAAAGAAGAAGGGATGTCCAATTCAGTTCAGGCATCTTGGATGGCGACGGCCAAGCGTAGATAGAGGAGCATGCTGAAAGGTTCATGAGACAGGAGGAGGGTTTGGGCGCGGTTGTCGATAATGGCGCTCGCGATAGTGCTATTAGACTCATCAGGGAATTCGGTATTCACCACGATCTTGAGTGTTCTATCAAGGAAGAGAGCGATAAGGGAAGTGGATGTGAGAGATATCCACTTCTGCCCGGAGACATCAACTCAACTGGATGTGAGCCGCGCCAGCTCCCGCTCCTGTGTGTCGACTGATTAAAATATGAGTTATTTCAAGCATAACACTCACAATCTCCAATTCTCAACAGCTCGAGCATATTTCTCATCGGTTTCAATTACCTTTGTTCTTATGACACGTCAGAATTTCGCTTGTTTCCTTTCCCTTGCCAATAAGCTAGGGATAGTAGGGTGTCGAAATGTTTCAAGCTGTCGATACTCCTATTGCTGCTTCAAGCTTTTCTTGCGGGGATCGAATAATTAAGAACACCGTGAATCCATATCAATAGATTCGCGTATTGGACAAACACACCATTGGTGCGCGGTAGCCAGATCTGTGGCACGATAAGAGACGATCCGGAAAAGGGATCCGACCACATGCCGATTCACAACAGTATTGAATAAGCGTTCTGTTTGATTTGACATATTCGGTTTAGGGAAACAATCGTCAATTGGCAAGGGGTTTAGTCAGGAATGAAGAAGTGTCGGTGTAGGCATGGAAAACCAGGTTGTGCCTTGGCGCCCATGGAGGGTATCATCTTGGTAGCATAACGGGTTAAATATGATGGTGTCAATCTGACTTTGTAGAAGATACGAGTCTTCGCATAGAGGCAATAGAAGTCAGTCATTTACCATAAAGGATAATCCCTCAGTCCCAACGGATCGAACGCTGCCGTCCAAGATCCCGCACAGCTAAAACGAAGACCTGCTGTGAGATCCTGGCACCAGGCGAGCAACGTGAGGTAACAGCTTGACGAATTAAGCAGAAGGTGCAAGGAAAAGATTGGAAAACTAGTCGATCATCCCCAGCAAAGTTGTGAGGAAACAAAAGCTGCCGAGTGTACAGGCTCCTCTTTATCCGTCATAGATTGGAGAAAGGCCGGAAAGAAAACCAAGCCGAAAGGAAATATGCCTCCGTGGACAGTCGTTTTTCGAAACAAGTCATACCTTCCAGCACATCGACACATAGGAAGCCGTCTTGTGCCACACGGTTTTAAGGTCACTTTCACATTCTAGGCTTGGATTGTATCAGTCACAAAAAAAGGAGATCAGAGATTTTGGCAGGTAGCACCAACCACAGTGGAAGTTATTCAGAACGCATTGAAGTTTGCAGCAGTGGTTATCAAAAAGTAAACACTGGACAAAAAGAGAACCAAGTGTTGCTAGATGATAAAACAGATGACCTTTTTCAGCCGCCCTGCATCTTCTGTGTTGAAAGGCTCGAGCGGGAGGGGGGCATGGACCCTTCATGGCTCACAGATGTGCAACATGGGGGTACAAATTAACATCAATGATAGATCGAGCTGCATGAATGCATACGTAAGACAGATCCGATGCCAGTCTAGGGGAAGAATGTACATATGCAAGCCTGGTGCACGGGACATAGCGTGGCATTGCTTGTTAGTTCCCATTTTTCCCCGACAGAGCAAAGAATGGCGGATCCTTATGTGTATGTATGTAATTGCCGCCGGAAGCAATTCTGGCTAATTGATTCGAGAATGAAGTGTGGCCGAAGAAAGCGACCTGTGTGAGTCGGGATGGGAACAGACTCGATCCAAACGGATGAGCTGGACGCATCTAGATGCTGGAGCAATTGTCGTCGATTTGTAGATCGACTGACAGGGAAGTAAAATCCTGCATATGAGTCGTATCAAAACTTGCGGTCCGTGGTGCGTTGTTTATTTTCCCCATGTCTCGCGGCAATGCCGGTGAGTACATCGTATGCAACGTGTTTCCGGCCGAGTTGAGATATTGTATTTTATTTATTGTTACTTGCCTTTTCTTTTCTTTTTTTTTTTCGCCTTTCATAGAAGGCAAGGAGTTAATCGGATATTCATGAAGTACGTAGGAAGGAAACAAAAATCGATTGATCTCATTTCTATCTCAAGAATTGAGCAAAGCACGACGACAAGAAAGAAGCGGTTGAATATTCGCCTAGAAGCCAAGTTCTCAAAATCGAGGCGCATGAAAAGGAATATGCCCACTGGCCTGCTTTCTCATCTATGATTAAGTGCTAACGGCCAAACCCCTCCCCGGGCCAGTCAGGACGCGAAAACCGGGGTGGTTTGTTGGAAGCCCGGCCGTTGCGAGATGGAGGGGAGTTGCATGTGCAGGGGAGAGGTCCACGCAGAGCGTGCTGCAAATCCACGGATTCGGCATCCGCGATACGAGACAAGGCGCGGCTGTTGAGAAGGAAGAAGAAAAAGAAGAAAAGAGCGCAAAAGGAGAAAATCATCCGTAACCATGCAGTGCTCGAGTCATTTTTGGTTTGCTCGGCTTCTGCCAGGAGCACATTGATTACCCGTTTCTCTTCCAAGCATCTTTTCCAGCGGCTATAGCGCTAGTGATAGTTTATCCCTCCCGACCCTCGCAGCCCGCGTCATCTATGATCAGGCAGCGGGTCGGCAGGTGGAATATAAACCGACAGATCAGTGGGAGACGTTCATGAATAGACAGGTTTCAGACGGAGGGTCAGCGGGAGCAGAGCAGTGTCGATTGCGGACGACATTTGCTGTGGAGCGCTGTCCAGGGCCACCGCCTAGAATTCGGGGGTTGAGTTAGTGCCCAGGTCTTAGGTTTAGGGCTTGGGGTTTAGGGTTGTCTGGGGCCTAGACTGCTTATCTCAGCGGGGAGAGAATGGGCGGCGAGTGTGGTGATGGATCGATGAGGGCGACGGTTGAGAAGCGACTGCGGATGAATTGGGCGGCCAAAACGGGAAATCGCTGCTATCCCCATCCATGAACAGGACCAGGAAGATATCGGGTCTAGGTGTAGCATCCCTCGGAGGGCGCTGCAAGGGACGCCCGCCACTCAGGTCTGAAGGCAGGGTACTATGGCCACAGGAGCTGGTCTGAGGTGAAACCGAGCTGAAGAATTTTAGTCCTGTCACCCGCAGCTTTCCGGTGAATAGAATAATTTTTCCTTTTTTTTTTTTAAGGGGAGGTTTTGAAGAGCAGGAAATAATATTCAATGCCGGGATGGATGGATGTACCGTTTACATTCCAAAAGGCAAGGAGTCTCGCAGAGCTGGATGTCTAAGACACGAATGCAACGACGGGGATTTGACGAAACATTATTCAGCCGAAGAGAAATGCCCATCCAGCGCACAAATAGTTACTGGGTACGCCGAGACGAGACACGTCTAGACATGTGGCCGCGAGAGAGATCTGCCAAAATTATGGCCAGAAAGGAAGAGGTTGTAGGGATAACTCGATCGTAAATGCATGCGAGGTGATCTAGAAACCCATTCGATCTCTGCATGGTTATGTGACTACAAGACGGAATACACACATAACCTATGTCTCCGAGGGATGACGATGGCAGCAGGCAATTAAACCCCCAACCAAATAAAACTTGCCGCCGCGGAGCAGCCTGTCACGGTCGGCTGTCGTCGTCGACGTTGTTGTCGCGGCGGTCGTTAGACGGCATAGCTAACCGAGCATGCCACATCGCCAGCACAGCGCTGTCGAGTCGGTCTCTTTTGTTCTCTCTCCACCAGCCGAAGTTGAAGTCGCTGTTACATTATTCTTGCAGACTTCCCTTTCGTTGTCCGTCTGATTATAATTTAGACTTTCTCCTCGCCAAAAAGTCCCCCGCGCCTGTGAGAATGATCTCCCGACAGGACGAAAGAAGATCCGTGGGACAAGTCGCCCAAGGATAATTCGTTGACAGAAAACGCAAAGCCTAAAACTCTGCGGGTTGCCTAGAGGGATCCAACCAACCAAGACGGCGTTCTAGATCGACTCTAGATGATCCACACACACCCTCGCGTTCTGCATGGATGGCCGAACCAACGACAGGGACCAGCACTGGACGCGGAACCATGCAAGCGCGGTCTGGTGGCCACTCGATCTGCTGCACGTCTCGCACCCAAATCCCGCTTCGTTGGGAAAACCTAGCAGGCGGCCTTCCTGCGCGCTCGGTTTGTTCTGCAATTGTTATTTTGACTTTTGTTGCGCCGTGCCCGCTCCAATTGGCCCCAGTTGGTGCTCTGTGCCTCGGGTGTGGTGGCCCATCTCGAAGTCTGGGGCACCAGACCGTGCGTGGAGGGGGGAAAAATAGAAAAATGAAAAAAAAAAAAAAAAAAGGGAAAAAAAAAGAAAGGTGACGGGGAGAAATGGATGCTTGATTTGTCTGCTTCAACGCGATATCCGCAGTGGATATCCCCCTCTCTTCCCTCACACACACACACTCTCTCTCTCTATCTCTCACTCTCTCTCTGTGTGTGTGTGTGTGTGTGTGCGCCTGTGTTTCCATTTGTCTTCATTTCATCCTCCTCCGCCCACCAATGAGAAACGGGTGCTGTCAGACTTCGACCTGTGAAGTGTGAACGGACAGGCTGGCCGGTGGATGACTGGTTCAACCCGCATGCTAGTCGCTCTGTAGCCAGCTGTAGTTAGTTAGTTACCGGACATAGTTTCACGCTCTCCATCAACCGACTACTCCCTGATGGTTGCGCACCCACCACCCACTTCCGCAGCCCACTTTGGCTGCATCTTCCGACGAGGACTTGACGGCCAGAATTAGACCTCAGCTCCAGGGTTCGCAATCTGCCAATCCCTGGAGCGGCACCGGCATCCCATGGCTCGTGCCTCTTTTGACTCTGGAGCCCAAAGGGCACTTCTCAAATATAAAGCAAAATCCGGCCCTCTGAGAGGCTGCTACGTTGAAAGTGCCCATCCTCCTCTGGCTCCGAACATTTTTTGTTTTTCTCTCTCTTTCTTTTCTTTTTTTTTTTTAAGAAAAGACCATTTCTTACTTTTTTTTGTTTTCCTTTCGCCAAACCCTCAACAAAGGGCGGAATAGGAGAAAAGACAGCCAAGTACTCCCTACTCTGTAAGAAAAGGTGAGAGGAGAAAAAAGAAATTAATTCCTACTGCTCATGCATGATGTGGCATGGCCTCCACACACTTTGTTTGATACCGACATACTCAAACAGCTCCATTCACCAATTCTCTGATCTCCTGCTGCTTTTCCACCGCCCTCCCAATCATCCGGCGAGTCAATCCACTTGCCTTGGTCCCCCAGACTGGGGTGAGATCTGAATCAGCTCTTCATTGTACCTTTTCTTTTCTTTTCTTTTCTTTTCTTTTTTTTGTTTCCCTCTCTCCCTGTTGCCTTTCCTCTTCCTTAACCCTGTTCGTTCGGCAAAAGGAAAACAACTCACCGGTGGCTACTTTACTCAGACCGGTTTGCGTTTCGTCGTCCATCCTCTCGGATCGCAGGCCACACCTCCAACCCACTGCCCGCTGTCGCGTCGCCCTTCTCCCTCCACTTTCCAGGTCGAGCCCCACTCGAGACTCGGGCGCAGAGAGAAAAGCCAGGAGCGGCATCACAAACCAAATCATATATTAGAGACAATAGAACGGGGACTGGTCTGCTCCTCTCCCTCTGTCTTCTCCACGGCGTTTCCAGAAGATTTCCCTAGTCTTATATTCTTCTTTTTTCTTTCATCGGGTGTCCTTCGTTACTGTTTTACTGGGACACAATCGCTCTCCCTGTCCTCACACTTTTTCTCCTTTTTTTCTTCCTTTTTTTTTTTTTTTTTTTTCCCTCTCCCTTCTGCCAATCGTTCGCTCGGCCTACATCAATTCCAGATCGCACGCTTCGTCGCTATATCCAAAGACCAGCCCTGATTGAACGGGAAACAAAAAAAAAAAAAGGAAACAGATTCATTCACTTTTATTTTTACTTCGCAACCATGGGCGTCACAAAGAAGATTCTCAAGGAGGGCAATGGCGTCGACAAGCCCGTCAAGGGGGACGATATCGTCATGAACTACCGGGGTTGTCTCTATGACTCCAGCAAACCCTCCGAGCACTTCATGGGAAGGAAGTAGGTTCACCCTTGTCTTTCTTTTTGATGATCTTGTTCTTGATTTCTCTCCCGCCCCCCCGGCGACTATTTTTAGTCGCGTTGCAAATCCATAATCAGTACGGAGTACTCCGTACTCCCTACATAAAACTTATCCGGCTTGGGGTGGTCACAAGGGCCGTGCATGGGTCAACTTTGTGCCTTTTTTTTTCTTTTTTGGCTTTGAGCTCACACTTTCTGGGGCTGACTGTCGATCCTTGCGTCTAGATTCGACTCGACTGAAGAACGTGGCGAATTCAAAACGAAAATTGGCATCGGTGTAGTTATCCGCGGTATGTTCGAAAAACCCACCCCCCGTGTGCTCCGGGACAACCCCGAGCGTGTCTCTCGACATCCTCTGATGAGTTTGTCAAATGCACATGACTTGAATGATTAAGGAGAATAGAGTTGCAATTAACTTGACTTCCTTCGCCGTTGGCTTCTAGGCTGGGACGAGGCCGTCCTCCAAATGTCTCTTGGCGAGAAGAGCATATTAACCATCACTGAGTATGTTATTTTGCCCTTTTGAGTCCTTTGTTATGAACCGAAAAGAAAAGGAAAAAAAAAAAATAAATAAAAAATTAGGTTTAGTCTGACAGGTCGAGTAGTGATTACGCTTACGGTGCACGGTATGCTCAATTACCCTGAAGTTTTTTTTTTTTCTTGATCCCTGCGAACTGCCTCTCAGAACCTGGTTCGCTGCCGGTGACACAAAAGTCTGGGGGATAACATCAGCTGCCACGCTTGATCCCCCATCAGTACCCAATGTCACACAGGAAGGAAAAAGCAGAACAATAGAAAAAGAGGAGACAAAGGCAGACCAGTGCTTAAGACACTTTGATCGTGACCCGGCATTGCTAACTTGAGCTGCCAAAAATAGTGGTTTCCCTGGACTCATTCCGCCGCATGCGACTCTCGTCTTGTAAGTTATCCGCCAATCGATCTCCACTTGTTCCTCTCCGATTCCTTTCTACTACCTCGAATATGCGTCGTGAGCTGGGAGCTAACCGTTCTCTAAACCTACAGCGAAGTCGAACTCAAAGGCATCAACAGCAAACGGGTGTAAAGTAGTTCATCGCGCACCCATCTCGATCTCTCCATACCCTCCCAGTCGTCATGCATAAGCACGCTTCGCCTCTCTAACTAGCATTTCTACTTTACATTCCCGGGTCGCTAATTCGCTTTCTCTCTGAACTTTTTTTTCTCTTTTCAAAAAAGAAACTTCTGATCCTTATTCGGCGTGTTCCTAATGCTTTTTTGCCTTCCAGCACATATATACAACGGTTCTTTTATGTCTGGCACCTTCACGTTGTTTATTTCTATTTTTTTATTTTTATCTTTTTACTTTACCCCCAAATTCCTGCATCGGCATTGACGTTATGTTTCTCTTTCTTTCCCCACACCCTTTTAATGATTCTTTTTCCTTTTTCATCGATGACATGGGCAGATGACAAAGATTCCTTCTAGCATGAACTGTTTTAATTCTAATGGCATTATGATATGGATATATTTTCTTTAATTCCCCTCCACCTCCCCACCCACCACCACCATCTGACCATCCGTCTCCGGAGTAACTCCTTTATTCCAGTTTTTCAGGGTCTGGACCGACTCGTAACAGACGGAACATCCAGAGATCAACCCCGAAGGACTCCACTCATAATCATAATCAGCGATAGTTACTCCATAGCTACTTCGTAGTCGAATTCCCACTTCAACTCCCGGCACAAGAACAATAATGCATGGGACTGCCCACGCACGTACGCACATACATACAATTCACACACACCCGCGCCCCATTGAGAAACACACAAAGGTTCCCACCCCATCTGGACCATCTATCCAGCCGTCCGTCCGTCCTAACTCCGCCCTTCGCGCGCATGGTCAACGATGGAGAAGCAACCTCACAGACACATTTGGCAGGAGAGTCAAAGGAAAAGACTAGTTAAAAATCTCCAACTATGTACGATGCAAATCCTACAATTAACTCTGTGCCCGGTTATTATGTACAGTAGATACATATATTATGCAGTGAAACCCACCTCTAAGCCAGTAAATCCGCACAAAAACTAACAAAGGATAGCATCCAAAAAAAAAAAAAAAAAAAGAAAAGAAAACAAAAGCTGAGGTCTACACACGCGAGGGGAGAGAGAGAGAAAGACAGAAACTGAGAGAGAGACACCGGGTGGGGTGAAAGTGAAGAGCGGGGGAAGCGCAGACATCAACAGCAAGCCACATCCGGGGTTTGAGAAATCTAGCCCAGGCCCAAAATGCCAAAAAAATATCCAGAAACCAAAGCAACGGCGCCTCTCAGTTCTACTCCGTACACAGTTTATTTAACAAAATGACGGGCAATGTTTCTTCTTTTTTTTTTTTTTCCCTCAACGAATGACTGATGACACCCCGGAGGAGTGACGGTACGTAGCCGATACGAAAACGTCTCCGAGGAAAACGCAGGATGCAAAAGAAAGAGAGAAAGCCGAACAGTGACTAGCCCATTGGTAACGATGGGGGATGTAAAATTGCAATATGGACTCTGTAGATAGGTGGGAAGTACGATTAAGGCGGGAAGAAATCCCTCCCAACAAGGATCAACGTCTAGTCTGCTTGCTGCTGGGGGGTGGGAGGGAGCATGGAAAAAAGCCCTCCCGGACACGTAAAGCAAACGGGAGATGAGTTTTTGAATAAAGGAAAGGCGTGTGAAGGGGGAGACACTAATATTAAAAAAGGGAGTAATATATATCTTGAACCAAAAAAAAAAGGGCCAGTTACCCCGACCTAGGTTAGAAACCAGAAGTGAAAGGAGTTGTCTAGCTAATGCCAATACGCGAGGGGATATCAAATAAGTAAAGAAAAAAAAAATTGGCTTAAATGGTTTAGAAGCGATGTGTGCTCGCCCCAATTGAGAGAGATTTCCTGATATTAGATATAATGTCGGAATCTCCTCCGCTTTTTCTTTAAAATTCTTCCCAAAGGGGGACATACGGAAAAGAAAAGGTGGATTTTCGAAGTGAAAAAAAAGAAAAAAGGAGCTTAGAAGAAACCCGACAGGTCTAGACACCTTTTCCTTCGCCTTCCAAAGCGGTTGAATACCATTGTCCGGCCTATCTTGCCAAAGAGATTCGCAAAAAGGCCTACTCTTTTGATTGCTAATCCCCCATACACGCATCATATGGGAAAAGGAAGGAAGATAACTGCTGCTTGAGACGGGAAATGACGGTTCGGCATCCGAGGGAAGCAAATCTTCATATTGAAATTTGAAGTAGCGATCGATTAAACGTTGTAATGAGCTCGTCCCACAGTGAGGAAAGACCAAAAGAAATATCCGAAGCCCTTTGCTCGCATGTTAAAAACAGCAATCTTTTTCTTTAGATAACAGATAGACATGGGAGGTATCAGTAATTCAGACATAACAAAGGAAACATGGTGTATGGGCTTGTCACTGTCGGGCAGTGGAGAAAAATAATACAAAAGTTGGGTCCGGCTTCACAAAGCAGAAAGCGGACCTGGCTCGAAAGGTGCGTCAGGTCGAAAGGATAAGATAGGCGGGTGCAGAAAAATCCAAGGCTGAAATCGACATGAAAATCATCCCTTATTTGCTCAGTAGATAAGGTAGCCGCTTGACTTTGCAATATCGCAAGGATATGAATTGAGTGTGCATGGTGCGATGTGGTACTTGAACAAACTCAATTCGATGGGAGCTTCTTTTTGACGTCAGACACGATGCTAAACTCCGTTGAGCGTGCTCAGAAGCTTAGACCATTTCTAATCCAACTGGCCATTTCCAATTTCAGTTTGGTTCGGGCGTTCACTCGCCGCTCAGTTCCAACCAAGCGAGTTTTCAGCCATCATGGGCGGGCTAATTGTTTGGGTTCTGGCACTGGTTCCACCTCCACTGTTACGCTGGGAGCTTCCGTAACCATCGCTGCGGGCGCCGCTCATAAACGGCTCGCCTTCCCGTCCAGCTGGCCCGCCAAGGCCGTCGGTTAAGAAGCTCTCTTCGTTCATCAACCGGCGTCTTCTTCTATATCGGCGAGCAACGAAGAACATGGCGGCACCGTAGAGCGAGGCACCGCCAACGACACCCAAACCAATACCAACGGATGTCGCGCGAACGTTATAGTTCCCTCCAGATCCTCCTGGACCGGGGCCAGTGTCTTGGCTGTTTCCTCCGTCGTCATCACCTGGCTGGTCGGGGTTATTCTGTCCTGGATTGGACGGTGAGCCATTACCTCCTGAGAGAACACCAGTGAGAGGGATTGTTGGATCCAGCATAGCCATTATTGTCCGCACTGAAGGGTCTGGGTTATTGTACAGACGAGAAGACGGAGTCCGGAGCTGCAGAGCAAGTGACTGGATGAGGTCTGATGGGATATAAACGGAGGCAACTGTGGTAGTGTAGCCAAGTCTAGCAACGGTGTCATACGGACGGAGAGCCCCGACCTTAACGCTCTCATTCGGAATTTCGAGAGCATATGCAACACCCATTGGCAGGAAGTAGAAGATTTGTGTCGTTGCACCGGAGTGGTCAACGACAAAATCATAGCTCAGAGAGCCGTTGAACCCTAGATTAACCACAACGGAATTTGGCGGGGTTTTGTCTTCATTAGGCGGGGGTGAAATGACCTTTGGTCGTTCAGTTGGCCTCTGACTTTCTGTTGTCGTCTCGGTGTTTGTTTGCGTCGGCTGTACAACAATGCTTGTGGGAATAGACATTTCTGTGTCGGAATTTGTTGACAGGGAGACGGGAGATTTCGTGCTGGGTGGCGCTGGCGTAGGGCTGGCCATGTCACTTGTCGTGATGCTCATCGTTTGCGAGGCGGTTTCGGTCGCAGATCCCTTGCCCGAAGTGGTGGTAGGTCTCAAGATTCCAGATCCAGAGCCGGATCCAGAGCCGCTGGGTGGGAAAATACCGGATGGGATCGTTGACGTTCCTGTCGCTGACGGGGTCGCTGTTGGCTGAGATTCGGAGCCGGTCGCAGAAGTTGCGCTTCCACTAGGGGTAGAGTGTTCACCATTGCTTGCCGTATTGGTTGGCCGCGGTCTCACTCCAGTGCCACTGCCAATTGGCATTTCAGTCACAGATGGCGGAATTAGAGTGGGAAACTCTGGTATTAGATCAGACGTGGTTGTAGAACTGCCTGGAATTTGTGTAGCAGAGCCGGACGGCTCAACAGTGGACGTGTCGTTTGGAGGAAGAATCTGCGAACTCATGGGTATTCCAGGCGTTGTTATAGGGTCAATACTCAAGGAAGCTGTCGGGAGGCTCATACTTAAACTGGAGATTGTGTCATTTACTGGCGGAATCGGAGGTAGAGATGGCAAGCCTATTCCTCCTGTACCCCTGGTCATCGAAGGCTCCAAGCTCTGAGAGCTCAAGCTTCCGGACTGAGAGGGTAATGTTGCGGAAACGTCCGTGGTCGGCTCAACGGGTCCAGTAGTAGGTGCAGATCCATTTGGCGAATTGGAATTCATCGTGGGGTTAGGAACCAGACCCGTTGAATGCATCGGTATACCAGAAATTATTCGGGAGAGGTCGATACTGATTCCTTCTTCCATATCATCACTTGGGCTGCTTGAAACTGGAGTAGTGACCGAGGCAGCCGGCGTAGTTGGACCGGTCGACTCGGATGGCCTGGCTGTGGTTTCTGGGTTGTTCATCCTGCTTCCTGGAGAAGTGCCGGGTATCTTCCGTACAGACGTCGTGGATGGAATTGAAGGAGTTGGAACTGGGGGATTATCTGGGTCCGAAGGTGTAGTCCCCGGAATGTCTGTGGATCCTGTCGAAATGGTTGTCGCAGACGTTACAGCAGTGGGTTGTGTCCCCATGCCAACAACTTTGTTCGCACCAAGTGTTGTTTTCTTCCCATCCGGTCCCAACATAACAGTTACAGGTATCACGACAACTTCGCGCTTGACGTAGAGGGGAGATTCTCTATGTATCTCGCGTTTGATCCGCCGAGGGAAGTAGTATTGGGGTCTTTCGTTGCCATGGGGAGTGTCCAACGCCTGGCATTGCTCCAGGCTTGCCAGCGACACGAGAGACACAAGGAGCGTTGACAGGATGGCGCGCATGGTTATTCGACTGCAGATAACTGGTGAATCGTTGTGTCCTATATCGATATCACGGTATGGAGTGTTCCGAATGCCTCACGTACTTTGTGCGTATGTTCAATGTGTTAAGCGAATGGAATCAGCGACTTAATGTCGCGAAGCGGTACTATCTGCATTTTCCGTCAGCCCACACGGTAGGCAAAGAGGGCGATGGCATTTGGGTAGTCCAGTGGAGAAGGATATCAACAAAAACAGCAAACTTGGGATGATTGGGGCATGAGTCAAAGACAGCAATCTTGTAGGCCCATACCTTTCAAAAGAGCGTAACGGAACAAACGTTCCAGGCGATAAAGAGCGACGGGGATAGAAGCAACAATCTTTCAGCTGCCGGTAGTTTGAAACTTGAGGGGATGTGCGGCCTTTCGACTAAATTTCGATCCAACAACTGTTATCACGCGCCCTAGATACCCAACAGGCCTTTTTTTGCCCAAAAAGATAAAAAAAAATAAAAAGAAGGGCTCGACAACACGCCCAACGTACTGTTCAGTCTGATTCGGTTCGTCCCATTAGACACGCGTAATAAGAATCATTTGTCTCATCAGGCGTATCGTCCAACGGTAAATGCCCCCAAAAAAATGAAATCTTTCCGGCCGAAAATTAAAGCGCAGATCTATCGTCGAGAGGAAGCTTGTAGTCCTGGCTATGGTGTCAGTGATGGCTGCGCTTCGTTTCCTTTTTTTTTTTTTTTTAATTTCGTTGTTTAACAGCGTGGGGTTTGCCTTCTCACGATCTGATGTATGGATTTTCCCCCTTCAAATGTCGAGATCAAAAGATGCAAACCCTCAAAGAAGACGTCGCAGCCACCAGATAAGCAATGTTTAGTCCTGTTGTCCCGTCGCCCCAAAGTTGTCTGCCTTCAACCCTTGAACGAACCACGGTCGGCTTTGGCTGGGGAACCCCGAAGATGATGGAGGGAGCGGCGAGGCAAGGATGCCCGGGGAGAGAACGCGAAAATAATTAAATACAGAAAATGAGTGAAAGAGAGGTGCAAAGGAAAGGAAAGTAAAAAAAGAAAAAGAAAACGACGGAAAGGGAGATGGGTTTTGAGAGGGATGATGGGGGGAGGGAGAGGGAGAGAGATGAGGTGTGGATGTCGACCCGGAGCCTGGAGTTACTATATGTAAATAAGTCAAGCCAACGTGTTAGTCGTACAGTTTAGTCATTAATGGCTTGCGCCAATGGGGCGTTAGGGTGGATTATTCCCATGGTTAACTTACGGAGGGGCGCCGTTGTGTACTCAGGTGTCGAAGGTGGGAAGCGGAGGAGAAAGAGGGACGACACCGACAACAGCGTCGACGACGACGCATACAAGGAGAGGGAGGAGAGTGTGGTGAAGGATGCGAAATGGATGGAGGTGAAGTTGGGAGAGGAGGAGGAGGAGGAAGCGAGAGAGGGAAGACGGGAGGAGGGCGAAAGCGAGGGTTTGTGAGGTGACAGCGATGATAATGAGACGGCGAAGCCTCTCAGAGACGCCCTTCCCTGTTGGTTAGGAGGTATTGTTGCGCTTACGGGAATCTGGGAAGGCATTACGCCCACGAAACCAACGGTCGGCGCTGTAATAAACACATGCACCAACTCCATCTTGGCCCAGGAGAGAAGAGGCCGTTCGCGAGTTCTGCGTATTACACTCTCAGCAGAATTACCACGCTGGCCAATGGTGTGGCCTAACCGTTTCAAACACGGGCAGCGAATTTCTTCTATTGGTGCAACGATACAGCGCTCAAGCGAGGTGTCAGCGTACGGGGATTGTAAGTACGCGATATGATACTCGGATGACGGGAGCGTGACAGGACTTGCGCGGTAGATTACGGTAAGACTGGGTGGGCGGCAGGGATTTGGACGGTAAGTTTTGAAAGGCGGCGGGCTCCACCGGGGATCCATTGGTTGCATTCGACGAGCCGCCAGGAACGGAGTTAAACTTGAAAGAGGCTTAGCGTGCCACACAGGGCCAATCGTGAGACGACGGCCACAGCGACCCCGGATCGCGAGTGGCTCTGTTTTCAGCACGCCGAATCATCGCCCGGCGCCTGCTCAGGGGTAAAATGATATTTTGCGGCCGTTCTCTCCCTCCACTTGCACAATTTTTTATTTTTTTTTTTTTTCCCCCGAACCATCGTTGAACTACCCGCAAAAATTGCTGCCAGCACCGTCGCCTCGTGAGCTTCCCAGTTCTTAGTGAGCATATCTTACCTTCCGGTCTCTTGGCGAAAAGGCAAATTTCACGGTCAACCACGTGTCTGCTCCCAACCGCCCAAACCTTCTCTGGCAAGGCGACTCGGCCGTCTGAAGATGTCTCTCCTTCTCCTCCTCTTCTTGTACGAAACTCCTTCTGTCCTCCTTGCCTGGTTTGTACGACCGTCGACGAGGACGCAAATTGTCGACACCGCTACGGAGTACTCCTGCACGTACTCTAGACTTGTGCAGGGCCTAGATCTTCCGGAGCATACATAGGACACTTTGTACTGTATACGCGTTAGTAATAATTATCTACGGATTACTATGTACAGAGTATACCATTTTCTTAGTATGCATGAATATGTACTTCGTATGTGCCTCGGAGTTTGTGCTCCTAAATATCTGCACACACACTTGCTTGGCTCGACTCGGACCATCAGACACTCTCTCGAACCTCCCGTCGACTTCGTAAAATCTGGGGCAAGTGAAGGAGGGAAACCTGTTGCTGTATGCGCTACACCTGTTCTGTTTATCTTCAGCGTCAAACACACATCCCATAAAATCGTTCGTGTCGAGAGTTGCACTTCCGAAGAGACCGCGACAAACAAAATGGACCCCACCGAGCAGCCGCCCTCCACAACAAGAGCGTGTTCGAGTTATCGAGCAGAGCGCAGGACGTATCCTCCAAGGGTAAGCCACAGCAGGTGCAAAGCTATGGAGTTCAAACTACGGAGCAACGGAGTATTTTGCATACAAACAAAATGCAGGGGTTTCAATGGGCCCAATGTCAATTTCTTCGGAGTCCGGATGGCGGCCCTTCCAGAGCTCACAATGGTCACGACGGATCCCTCAAGAACAACGTCATCTTCCATCTCAAGAACGCCTTTGGACCGCTGCCATCTATGTCTTGAAGCCAGAAGAACAGCGGGCCATCATTCCTCCCACGGGGAGACTTTCCCGCTAACTGCGCATTTGCTTTCAGGGAAGAACGACTGAGAAGGGTGAGAAGGATATGGTCTTGGCCTGCTTACTCCCGAAATTTGCCTATCGTATCCCCAGTTCTTGCGACGAGCCACTAACTTAGCGACAATTACGGAGTACGGAGTATATTTCAGGGGAATTGTCGACGCCCTGCCCACTCACGGGCTCACAAACTCTCTCGCAGAAAACAAAGACTGGCGGATTCAAACTTGTCCGTGCTTTGCTGCCCGAAAAGAGGGAGACTCCGTAAACGAGAGAGAAAAAAAGAAAGGAAAGGAAAGGAAAACTGAAATTAATCATAATTTCATCTACGGAGTACCCTGAACACCAGATGCGAACAAATTTTGCGAACAGCCACTGGATTACCATCAAGCTCCAGAATGCCCTGTTCCTGCACAATCTCCCGCCTCTTCCAAGCCCCGTACAGAATTTCCTGGAACAAATTAGAATAAAAATAAAAAAAATATAAAGGCCAGCGAGCACCTGACAACGGGCAATACTGCGCGACCACGCCTACGCAATCATCGATGCGAAGCGAGCAATAGCCGGCAGGGAAGCCAAAATAGACCCTTACCATTCGCCTGCCCCCAGGTGCGAGCGGGCGTGCGCCAAGTGGAAAAGCAGGCATTGCTAGCTTCTCCCCTTCCCCTCACCCACGCAGCAGCAGCAGCCTTCATCGGATGACAGCCCATTGCAACCATGACAGCGATCTCCTTGTGATAACACCGAAAGATTCATTAAAAAAAAAAAAAAAAAATAGTGCAAGAAATAGTGCCAGAATGAAAAGAGTAACCGTCAAATGATTCCAGACGCCCGTCGATGCATCCATTACATACGAATACGTTCCGGGCATCCACGCTCTATATGAGGACATGACGACATGCGAGTAAAATGATACAGAAAGCGGAGGTGTAACTTACAAACTTGAGTAAGCAACCAAGGTTCGCCGCTAAGCTGTTTTCGACAGTGCGAATTGCGATCGGCAGCGAGACTTGCTGCTTTGGGCCGGAGTACTGGGGCTAGAAGCTGCTGTGCTGCGCCACGACGTTCACGGTGGGCTTTCGATGGCACACACGACCCAGCCGACTGCCTCTGTCTGACGATTTTCGGGGGGAAAAGGGAAGATAGCGCAGCGGGTTTTGCTGTCAGACCGCGCGAGACGACAAGGCTGCATGCCGCACGAAATAACACACATAGCCGTCGATCAAAGGAGTTAAACCCCGTCTCCCGATGAAAAAACCGGGCGACGATCCTCTGACATACCGTGTCTGGAGCGCTCGCAGCGAGAGGCTCAATCCGACGTCGGCGGGTGGGCACGCCGTTGCAGTCAGCGACATCTGGGATGGACGCCATTTCCTCCGTATCCCGCTGTCATCTCAGCTCTGTGGACTGTTCTCAGGACGGAATACATCCATCCATACGGAGTACTCCGTACATACATAAAGATGCCCCTTTCCGGCCATCCTTGTCGTTAAAGCGATCAGCCTCCCACAACAGCTCGCAGAGCGACGCGGGAGAGAGACATTTCGAAGCCATCGTCGAAAAAGCTAACCGAGACGACGTTCCGAGCGGGCAGAGCTTGAGGACGCACATCACTCACCAACGCAAATCCACTCCCCGCTTCTTCCGTCTTAGCAGGAGACGAGAGGTTCTGGAACTCGTGATGAAACAAAAAGAGTTCTTCATCCCTCCTCCGTGCTCCAGCACATGAACGTCTCCTTTCACACACACATCGAACCCCAAGCCGGGCAAAAGAAAATCAAATAAAAGGGGGGAGGGGGGAATTCGGACTATTGCGTAAACACCACCGGCACCTCCCGGAGCCGCACGGAAGCGCAAGTCGTGCAAAAAAAAGGACCATTCTTTCTCGCATCTCCTCCCCCCAGGCAACCCTTGTAACGGTGGTTCGAAACTAGTCGACTCGCTACCGAATTGCTCGCTAACTCGTTAACAAAAGTCGCTACTTCTGCAAGTGACCAACCGATCTACAGTTAGGCGATTTGTCTCACCTGAAAACCCCAACTCGACTCCGTACTTGCTTAGCTAGTCCGTACTCCGTATAAATAGAGCAAAGCTTAATTGAGAGAACATCGACGCTTCGCTTTATCAGAATAGAATTCCAATTCATGGTTGCAAACAAAAATACCAGAATACTCCCGCGGAGATTCTCAAAACGCCATTGTATTGGAGAATTTCAGTCCCTGGAAGGGGCTATGTAACTGTGAATGAGAGAGGAAGCCACTTGCGCAGCATTCAGCCGTTACGCTTTTTGGGGGCGCTGAAAGGGCAAAGGTGGGAACAAAAGAAAAGATGATAGTATTTACCCAAAAAAAAAAAAAAAAGCAAACACAAAGTGTGCAATCGCCCTCGTGGGGTTAAATAGACAAATTATCCATATATTCTCGTTCCATCCCACTGACCTCTCGGGCACGTTGGAAGGCCATTTTGTCCCCAGGACCCTGACGAGGGCCAGCCTTATCTGCCCTCAAGACCCGTGAATCCTCTCGGCCCCAAACCATCTTGCCCTCCAGTCCTAAAATATTCTGCGACAACACCAATTGCATAACAAGTGCCCCCAGCAACCACTCCAGCCAACACAGCACGACGAATCGCTCTCCGAAACGACGACAGAAAACCCTCCTCCTTCTTCCTCGCGGTTCCGGCGCCTTGAGGAGGCGAAAGTCTCGATTTCTCATTTGGGTCGTATGGTGACCAATTTGGCGGTCCGCCCGTGAAATGGGTCTCCTGTCGCCGGACCATGGTGGAAGGATGCGAGGTGGTCGATTTCAGCGTGCTAGTTTCAAACTCTTTGATGGATTCTCGTTCCCTTTGGGCCGCCTGACTCGGTGAATGCACGGGCTGTTTATCAATGCTCGCGACGGGTTCACCCTGTGCACCAGAAGGTTTCAGTTCTGATGATCCGGTCCTCTTGGCTTCAAAGTCCTCGATGGATTCTTGTTCAAGCCGCATAGCTCCTTGAGGTGAGTGCATAGACTCTCTTCCGGGGTTTACACAGCTCTCTTGTCTATTTAAAGGAGTCCTTGCTTGCAAAGTGGAGGTGGATCCGTTAGCCTCCAATTCATCGATAGACTCTCCATCTAGCTCAGTGGCTCTTCTCGGTGAATGTATAGACCCGCTTGAAGAAGAAACAGGTGTACCAGACTCATCCCCCTGGGATGTCTCAAAATCGCCTCGTCGTGTCTTCTTGAAGACAAGTACGTCACCGCTGGCCGAGAAAATCTCGTAGCCCTGAGATGTCAGTGACGAAAAAAAGGCAAGAAACTTCGAAGGTTTGTTCAATCGAGATATCGCCTCTATTGGATGGAGAGGAGTAAAATCGAAAGAGAAAGTTGAAGTTATAACAGCATCCAGAACCTTCATTGTTGACGAGTCATATGCAAGAATCTTGTATTCTGTTGGAACGTCTGCGGAACTCTTTAAGGTGTCTCCCAGTGAAGCTCGAATGGCGCTACTTGTCCTTTCAATTCTATCCAAGGTTCTCCCAGCCCTCATGAGTAGCGTCAGACGGCTTGTATTGGTGTCCGTAATAGGTACTTCTAGGTCGATGTCCATCTCGGACACAGAATCGTTCACCCTTGTAGACGCTTGGGCTTGTGTGTCCTTGGGAGTGACCTCACCATACACGCTTTCGTAGCTGGTTTGCGTTTGTCCGGTAGTGTCCTCGACTTTTCCCTTATCACCAATATCGGTTGCAGTACATGAAGCATCATCGTTTGCACCGGTGGTTTCATTTGAATTTCCACGTGCCCCCAATGCGTTAACGGCCTGGGAATTAACTATATGATCAATTTTCGATTCCCATCTTTGGGTTTCAAGCTCGGGATTCCGACGCTCAAAGGATGCACGCACGTCGTTGGCGCGTAGAGAATCAATGTTCATTCGTTCCGGATCCTCGTATGGAACATTATGCAAAACAGGTCGACACTTATGTGGAACATCTTCTAGAGCCATTTCCTTCGCGCTCCAAGTATTTGCTAACACGCCTCGATCGTGTGTGTATGTCTCAGGCTTGCAAGTAAGATAATCCTTGAATTTATCAAAGACAGACTGTGCACAGCGTATTTGTGGTGCCCGTGATCCCGGCTTTTCGTCTTCAACTCGTAACGCGCTGCTGTTTGATGTGTCCATGCCCAGTTCGTTGTCCAGGGAAGTATTCGTAATCGAAGAACCAAGGTCATTCACCTCACCCTGACTCTGTGGGGCACCCATCAGAAAGACTCCATCGCTTCTCTTCTGGCCAGACTTGTTTATCCCTTGTGAGCTGGATGAAGCGTTACGCCGATCTATTCTCGGTCCCTCGACCGAAGAATCGCAGTCACGCTTCTGATCCAGCAAAGGCGAGTTTTCAGACACTTCGACCTTTGTGCAACGACTCCTATTATCTGCTAGCTCTGAGCGTGACCTTTTCATGGGAATATCAAACGTATCATGTGCGATCTTTTCGAATGGTGCATTTTCCACGGTTGTATTTGGGCAGTCCTTGGGCACCATCCGGCCGCTTATTGGATCAAACTCAAACAGAGCTTCCTTGTCTGGAGATGCCTTTTGGAAACCATCGGAATGGCTATGTACGTTCGCGTTCGCGGTGCAAGCGGTTTCGTCTCCATGGCGATGCCTTCGTTCCTTAGATGAGGCAGCACTATTTTCAATTCCAAAGAGGTATCGCCAAAGGGCTGACAGGGTATCATCCTTCGGACCAAGCGGGAAAGGGTGTAGCCGCATAAGGCGCCTCCCAAAGAGCATGCCATATGGATCCGCATGAATCCGCCGTTTGAACTCCTCAAATTCCTGTTCAAAGCGTTGTTGTTCAGCTGTGAATTCTTTTTCCCAGGACGATTGGCCCCATTTCCAGGGTGACCATCCAGGCCCATCGCCCGGTCCCCTATGAGGCCCCAATGACCCAAATTGAGACCAGCCCCAGAGATTTCCATGTTGCCAACGATACCATTCCGACCGTGGGCGCATCCCATGAGAGCATTTATGGAAAAGCATGCGATTTGCTTTTTCAATGGAGCGTCGTAGCTTTGACTCAAATCGTGACTGCCAGTCCGGGCCACCTGGACGACCACCCCATGCTATCGTCCGTCGTTGCTCAAAGGTACGAGGATGGCACTGGGGACTAGAAGTAACTGTTAACGTCGTAGGGCCACAGAGTATACTCGATTGCCGAATGGCTCGGCTCCGAAAGACTGATTTAGCCAGAACCGATTCCATTGCAACCGTGTACTCAACGATTAAGGCGGGCAAAACGTTCAGATAGCGGTCGTTGAGTTCAAGAACTCTTCGCTACCTGAGGCAGGATAAGTCACATCGGATAGGGTCGATGCTGGCCGCCCGGGTTCCATATATACCCACTAAGGATAATAGACAAACCGTAGATTCCGCCGGGGCAGAGCACTGAGGAGGATTTCAACGGGGCTTCCAAGGAGCACCAGGCGGAGATCGATGTGTCGGCTCGGCCGTCTGATGCGGGAGCTCCGCTGATTATGTCATTCGCCTCCCGCACTCTCCCCGCCCACATCTTATCTTATCACGGTATGATCTTGACGATGACGACCCAGCTCTCGAAAGGAGGCGTCACTTTTATGTTTGAAGGATAGCAACGAACCGACGCAACACTTGCAGCCCCCTTGTCGTTCAGAGAGTACCGCTACGCCAAAGTGTTAAGAATTGAAACAATCCTCTCTGCGGCGCGTCCCATGATTGTAATCTCAAATCTTATGCTTCTCGTCCAATGTTAACAATTTGATATCTGGCTTGGGGGATTTGGAATGATCATTCATATTTTTTGTACAGCAGGGAATATATATACGTGTGTGGAAGAGAGAGAGAGAGAGAAGTTTCGGTATGTCAAATTTAACATCTATTCACCTCAGTCTCGTCAAATCGGCGAAGACTTTTCTTCTTACTACGTACAGCATAATGACGTATGTAAGCTTCAATAGACGCCCATGACACTCACATCAATTGTCCATCAAGGGCCTACTGATCTGGTTGTAATGGTGTAGATGCCTTGGGAAGAATATTATATTATTATCCTGATGACCGGACCAACTTATTATCTCATATCATTTTTGAGTCATAGAGCCTTCACCATTTTCGGTTATCAAAATGTGGTTCCGCCAGAATCGAGTACCCTCGATACCTTCTTCTCGGCAGAGAACACCTCGATCTTCAGCCATTTCCAGCTCTTCGGATGCGACACCAACGCTCCATCCAAAGCGCTGAGCGGCTTCTTGCGCCGTTACTCCTCTGCCATAAAGTGTCCAATCCCAAGGTACCTCTGCAGCAGGAGAATCAGTTTGTAGTTCATTCATCCACGATTCAAGAAGACGAATGCATCTTTCATCCGTCCAATCGTGCGGCTGAACGACCAATAACCCGCTTTTGAATCGACGTAACCGCACAGGAAGTTTGAGCTTCTCCCATAGCTCTGCCGCTTTGTGAAAATCGGCCGGACTAACGAGCTCCACCCCATTTCGGCGTCGGTTGAAAATAGCCCAAAGGTCTATAAGACTCATGATGCCACCTTCACGGCGAAGTACGCCTTCTCGGTCGTCTGTCAAGTATTCAGCGAGATTACGTGATAGTTCGGAAAGATACAGTGTCTCCGAGCTGCTGCCTGAGCCAAGCATGTCTTTCGTTGTTATCATTCCAAGAGCGGCGGCGGATTGCGACAGGACTGCATCCGCTTCAAGAGTAGAGTGATCATTTGGCTTTACTCCGGTTTCTGTGGCCAAGGTTTCAGCTAGGGCGACAATCTCCTTAGCCGATGCCATCAACGCCTCAAGGTCTTCAAAAGCATTTCCAATTACTGTTTCGTTAATCTTTCTTGTATGAAAACCGCGACGCTCAAGCCCGGCAATTCCAACGCCTTTTGGCTGGGGCGACCCTTCTTCAACAGGAGAGGAATCTCCCCCGGTGGCTGAGATTCCTTGAGGTCCGGGATAAAGTGACATCTGAGGGACAGGCGGGGCATCGTGAAGGAGCCACTTCCTTTGGATCAGAGCATCGTTAAGTCTCTCATGAAAAACTTTCTCCCCGCCTCCACGAAATGACAGTTTCATACTCTCGTTGATTTCCGTATTCTCTAACTGAGAAGTAAGAAAGAGAGGAGCCGGGGAATCTAATCGATCAGGGGTATTGTTTCCTAAATGCTTAAGAGGTGCACCACACATTTCACATTCCAGGAGGGAAGGGTGGTTTGCGAAGGTACATCGTGGGCAAGTAGTTATATGGCTTTTGGCTATGGAAGGCGACAGTTCAAGAATATCTCCGCTATTGTCGCGGCTTATTGGCAGCGTATCAACCTGCTCATGGGGTTGAGACGGCTGTAGAGCTGTAGGATTTGTGACGATGCGATTTGTCGCAGATGCAATAGCTGCTTTTAGAAGTGTCGTAAGGGGTGGCTTGATTCCACAGGCTAGACATGGCGGAAGTGGAGTAGAAGCTGTGGCTGTGGATGGGTCAAAGTTGGAGGGAACAGGATTCGAGAAAGTGCAAATTGGGCAGACCCAACTTGCAGTTGAAGCTCTGGGCAACGATCCATTTACCTGGCGAAGTGAAGGACTTGCAGCTCTCTGTGATGAGGAAGATGAAAGTTTTGGTGATGAAGCACGTTCAACCTTGACGGCACCTTTCCCTGGAGGTTTCCTCGAAGGTTTGGGGTATATTGCAATCTTCGGTGACGATCTCAGAAAGCCCGCCTAATACCAAACCGTCAAAAAAAAGAGCCCAATAATACTAGTACCAAGGACTCTAATACCTGATATTCTACCCGCTCCACTTCTTTCAGGTCAACCGCTACTGAGTATTTACGGGGTTCGGAAGCCCCGACATAGCAGATGCGATGCGAAGTCAGGTAAGCATGGCCATTCTGGTAGTTGGGTATCTTGTATTTTCTATAATAACCCCGACGGTAGTCAGTCAAGGGGCTTTCATGACTAGAAAACAGGAAACACCTACCCTTCGTACAATCCTACCATGTCCTGGACAAACAGCAGTGATTCATCCTCAAGCAGCGCGGGGCGCAGGGCGGTGGTGAGATCAACTGGTTTGAAGAACATCTACAAGGACAAGAAAAAGAATGGCGCATGATGCTAGAATTTTACCCAGTAAAAATATAAGCAAAAAGGTAGAATCCCAACTCTAGGCTTCCTATCATTCCTGTCTGCGCAGTAATACTCTTCTTCAAGAATCAGTGACGCTCACCTCTGCACACGACGGATTTCGTCATCCGCCTATTTCATTCACGTGATATCACCGCCTTCCCGAGACTCCGCACTAAACCGGAAACAGAGTGAAGCGAGCGCCCCATTCACATCTTGGTTGCCACCTCATCATGAAGAACGACACTTCTCATTTATGCGCCTTTCCATCCCATCACCAGCTTGCTCTTTTGATCGTTATGTGTGGAGGGTGTTGAATCTTTCCTTTCATATTTTGTACAGAGTGAACCATCATACGAGTTTTCTTTTAGCTTATACTGTGAATCTATCCTGTCGAGACTGAGCCCTCAACACAGAACCCCTTCTCTGCAAATCTGGAACTTGACACCTCGAACCAGCTGATTTCATCTATTGGACTTACGATCTATTGAAATTCGCCATGAATGCTGCTTCTCCGCCATGGCGGGCTTCCACTACGGCACAATACACATCAAATGGTGAGTTTACGTTGGCCTGTCTCCCAATCGACAAAACCCTAACGCTACTCAGCTCCCGCATATATTTCCGTTCAAGCCCGCCGCAGCTTAGCTTCAAACCCGCAGTCAACTACAGATCCCCACTCCACAGATATTCCTCCACCGAAACCTGCCGAGGCTCAAGGTAGTAAGAAAAGGGTTGAGTGGCCCCCTGGAGTACGCCAATATGTGCAACGGAGCTTTGTTCCCGAATACCAGATCCCGGGTATTACGCGAGAGGATATGGAGAAAAAGCTAAAGCAAATAATCACGGAAGCAGCCGAGAGCAATAATCTCAACAATGTTAATTGGGAAGCCCTGCCGTTACCCCAGGAAATGATTCGTGATGAGCGGAATAGGGCTCTGACATCGTCAACGAGACAGCAACCAGTGGGCTTTCACAGATCTATTCCTGCATATACGGAAAGATCACAAAAGGAAGAATATTCCCCGAAAAGAAAATCATCAGAAATTAGCACAGTGGAGGATAACGTGGAAAGTATTCCGCCATGGAGAAGAAAAGCTAACTCTCGCACTGAGTTTGAAGATCGCAATAGTTTCCCTTCCCCTACTGACAAACGAAGACGGACAGATATCGGTAATGATAACGCTAACAGCAAAATTCCAAGTAAGTTTACCAGTGTTCTGGAGAGCCGCAAACGGCGTTTCGAGGACACAGGCTCTGGTTCACAGGCGACCCCCAGTACGCGTTCGCCCTACGAGGGATCCCTCACGAGAGATTCCGATGACGGGCCCGTTATCGGCCGATGCCAGAATTTAGAAAAGAACTATTTCCGTCTCACTGCTCCCCCAAACCCGGACACTGTGCGGCCGTTGTCTGTGCTAAAAAAGACCCTTGACCTGTTAAAGAAAAAGTGGAGATCAGAGAACAATTACAATTACGTCTGTGACCAATTTAAGTCCATGCGACAGGATTTAACCGTCCAACACATCAGAAATGAGTTCACGGTCAACGTATACGAAATCCATGCTCGAATTGCTTTGGAAAAGGGTGATCTTGGTGAGTATAATCAGTGCCAGACTCAACTACTGGCATTGTATGCAATGAATCTTGGAGGACATCCCATGGAATTTAAGGCGTATCGTATTCTCTATTTCATTTATACCCGCAATCGAACCGCCATCAACAACGCCTTGGCGGATCTAACCCCCGCAGAAGCAGCTGACCATGCTGTGAAACATGCATTGGATGTGCGTTCCGCTCTGGCACTTGGAAATTATCATCGATTTTTCCAACTCTACCTTGACACGCCGAACATGGGAGCATATCTTATGGACATGTTTGTCGACCGGGAGCGTCTTAATGCTCTCACCTACATCTGTAAAGCGTATGTACTATAATCCTACGCTACTTCCATATGGCTCTGACTCGATCAACAGGTATAAGCCCGACCTCAATATTAGATTCATCACCGAGGAACTTGGTTTTGAGTCAGATGAGCAAGCTGCCCGATTTATTCTGGATCATGTGCCGGAAGAGCTCCTTCAAGAGAAACCAGACGGCGTTAAACTTGTTACTGCGAAGGCTCAACCTTACTTTGAAGCGGCTAAAGCTGAAGCCCACAGAATCGTTGATATTAAAGGACAGATTTAACGACTGTTAAATTTGACGATGATTTCCAGGTCCTACGGGGCACCTTGCTGTTCCGGCGCACTCTAAAGTTCCTACTCCGTTCGTAGTGACTCGTTCGCATCTTCGGCGTTTCCTCGCCGTGGATGATTTCTTACTCTACCTTTTTTGTGCCTCTCTGTCTCAGATCGTACCAGCCTCCCGATCCATGGTCTTCCCTAAAGTCCCATCTGCTCTTCTCGGCTACGTTCTTTGACCGACCGATCTCCTACCATCACATGGGAGAAGGCGAAGTCAATACTGTCTGATTGGTCGTATGATTTTCTTATTATATCCTCCGTACGCATTTAGGCTGAGAAAGGGGTGTATAGGAGTTGGGATTATATTGCTGGCGATGTGTTTTCAGAGCCTGCCTGTGTGGGTATCTGTTCTTGGGTTTGCCCGAGTTCTTTAATCACTTATAGTGATATCCTGTAGTGCTGCTGCTTTTTTTTCCTAGGCGAGACAAGTATAGCTTGCTTAGGAGCCCAGAAATATAATATTGTATAGATTTTCACAGTTAGTTATCTTTGATGAATGTTGCTACTGAGTAGGCCGAAGTAGGACACCAGTATGTAAGATCACCCGGCCTTCCACTATCCACTCTTTGACCCTTGCTACCTTCCTTCTGCTCATGCCTTGACAGCTCAAGATAGCATGCTTTGCGCTGTGACGTTTACCATCCGTTAGCCCAAAACACAGGAGACCGGAGAGCTCCGCGTCCTGTTGATAAGGGATTATGAAGGATACGGGGAGAAGTTGAATAATACCTCCAAAGTAAAAGCATTGCCTTTTGTGGATAACTTCTCAAATTGAGAGGGGTATTTGGACGAGTCCCGCGGGGCCGGAGAGAGAGGGAGAGGTTAAAATGGGTGTAGAGGTAAGGGGGTTTTCCACTCGATGAGTCTTTCGTCATCCCACAGGGCGCAGCACCATTCAAAGTTACTACTGAGTGCGAAGAAGTCTATCAAATCATCATTGAATACTTCCAGGACGGGTCCGTCACCATACCAATACCGAACATAGCTCAAATTGGGCCTTTCAGTGAGGGGCAAGGTGCGTAAATACCCCTCGAGAATTCCCATCGTGTTCCTGGTATCTGGCTGCGGGGAGACCCAACTCCCAGGATTCCAAGTAAGGTCCAAGCATCGTACTGAACGTATCTCCCCGAGCGCCAAAAATGGTGGTGGCTATAATAACATCCCGGGGCGCCTCGTATGACGGTGCGTGGAGGACCCAGTATAAAAACCCTGGTCCTGTGTTTGTTACATCTTCGAGATACATGTCATAGAACGCAGCTATCCAGTAAAAGCGTAAGTCTTGGCTCTGCTATAACCGGAATTTCAATGCTCGACTAGGGGAAATTCTTCACTTACGAGTTGGATAAAGCTGCTCGTTCCTCTTGTACCAGTCCATGCGAGGAACCCCTTCTATTCCAGGACGGTATTCAGACACATCATCCTCAATCTCGGCAAATACTTCAACCCATTTAGTCCGGAGATACGCCCAAAAACACAGGCCATCTCTTCAGCCTCCCAAGGTGGCATTGTGTTTAAGAAGAGCTCCCAAATTTCTTCGTTTCGATACCAAGGGCGACCCAAAGAGATCTCTGTCGTTTTCTGGTCAGCAGCATGCCTCCAGTAGTCCCCCTGTTTACCAAAAGTATTACAGTATGTTTGCATGCGACAAAGAGCCCGAAGAAAGCGTGCAGACTCGGCATCGGACAGTTCCAGTGGTAGAATTTCGGTGTTCCATTTGTCCTTGTCCATCCACGGGGGACACGGGGCAGTCCGCCAGAAATGTTGCAAGAAGAAGGTAAGCATCCGGTGAAGATCTAGCAATTTGAAGCATTCTTTGACGCTTTTTGGCCTGAATGGATGTCCTTTCAGGGATCTTTGCCTCGCTTGCGGATGGCGAAGAGAGCTTAAGACAGAATTAATCTCTGGCTCAAGGGCTGCTATTAAGCCTCTGCAGCAAGTGCTTTTACGAGGTCCAGGTGACTATATTGATGGTGGATCAACGCTGCAAGGATATTTTGCTGGTCAAATATGTATGTGCGGTAATACAGTTGGGAAGCACAGATAAGGTTATAGAAAGCCTTAAGGTCGCCAAGGTTCGTGAGAAGGGAAATTTGTATTTCCGTAGGGATCCCCTCTGATGGAGGACTTGTATGCTTGTCATTCACTAAGCTACCTAAAGGGGAATCTTGGCTAATCTATGTGGGTCATGTGAGTGAGGTGCTAGTTGGATTACCTAACACCCCCCCATGCAACAAGCTCCAGCAGTGAGCAAGAGCCACAAAGATTTAAAGCTTCCAAATCTCACAAATTCATGATAAAAATTAATTACAGAATCTAGATTTATTCCTTCTTTAGCCTTAGCTCTGTTTCACTGTGATACTGTATTTTTGCTGGCTTTACTGATAAACCTCCATATTTTTCTGTATTAACTTGTCATCTCTATTGTGCTTACAAATTGAGTGTAGAAATTCATTGCAAGAGTTTTTATGAGTCTGTCAGCTTTATTTATGTTGGTTCCAATGTGCTTGATTAAGATTTTATTCTTTTGAATCCAGTCTCTTAGCATATAATGCTGAATCTCAATATGATGTGCTCTTTATGTTATAGCTTCAGCTTTGACTAAGTTAACTGCTCTCTTGTTGTTAATACTTAATTTTAAGCTTCTTAGCTTTACTGAGTCTTCACTAATTACTCTGGCATTTATCAACAGATTATTGATCCAAACTAGTTCACAAGCAGCTTTGCTAGCTGTCAAATACTCTACTTTAGTTGTTAAATTCAAGATGAACATCTGGTGCTGTGATCTTCATGATATTGGAGCTTTATTTATGGTAATAATGTAGCTACTGGTGGATTTGTATGCAGGGTTAGCTCCAGCTTAGTCAGAATCTGAGCTGGCTGTCAGTTTCAAGTCTTCAGAATTTATATCTCTTTTGAAGACTATTTCTTTTAATTTTGTATTCTTAAGATAGTGTAGAATCTGCTTGAATATTATTCAGTTTTCTCTATTGGGCCTGCTGTTGAATCTTGCCAGATAATTGACTACAAATGTAATATCCAGTCTTATACATATAACTAGAAACTATAGAGAGCCCAGGCCTTTTCTGTAATTTTGTTAGGTGAACCGGTTGTAGGTCATGTAGGTTTTCCCAGGATTAAGGATACAAAAGAGCTAAGTAGATATAATGCCCACAACTGATAGGAGAGAGTTGTGCATAAAATATAGAGGTCCCCTCACTTGAAGACTGAATGCTGGGGTTCTTATAATTCATGCAAATTGTGTGATTCTTATATGTTCAGTGTTAGAGTTATATGAATACCCCTGAACATCTGATGTTATCTGATGCTTGGTTGGTCTAGATCTATATTTGTAACACTATCCCCCCCCCCAGAGATCTTGAACTCTAAGACATAGAGCCACTGAAGTGATTTTTTGTACATCATTATAGCTCCTCTATCATTGGTAGAGTATTATAGATTCTTGAATGTGTAAGCTTCTGCATTACTCACTGCTTGTCTATATAGACATCCTGCATGTGTATTGCTGTCAGTTGTAGTAGATATTCTTTGTTATAGAACAGCAATTGTTTTATTATGAAAGTCCAGTGTTTTATTATATACTTGTTTCTTTGTTTGTTTGCTTGTCTGATTACTATATTATCTGTTGTCTGTTATCATGTTGTTTATTAACAAGTTGTAGAACTAGCAATCTTGATATATTATAATAAGTATAAATAGAGAGTTCCTGACTCTCTTCTTTCTTCTTTTCTTCTGCTTTGTTTGGGCTCAGATGTTGTTTCTCATTTATTTTATAACTTGTCATAATATTATTGTTGAAAGACTCTGTTATGTAAGATAAAGAAAACACTCTTCTGTGCTCTGTCTGTATTTACTTAATATTTACAGACTGTCTAAATGAAGACAAGTCTTATCTATAAGATACTGAGAAGAAATCTTATTCTTATTGTTTAGAACATCAAATCTGTATCTGTTGTAATATAAGTATATCTTTATCTGTTCTTCTTGTTATTCTGACATGGCTGTAGATTCCAGAATCTGCTGTTGAACTAGTTTATTAGCTCTTGTAACTTTAAGAAAAATACTATAGTTTTGATGCAGCTGATCTGTGTTATCTATACAATGTCAAGTGCATAAGTATACTTGTGTGTGAATTTTGTAGGCTCAACTCAGAAGCCACTAAATATTACCATCATCAGATTACTTCTACTGTCAAAGAATCTTTCATGAAATATTGTTGTCTTGTCTCATGTCATGTAGTCAAGACCATGGATCTTGTGTCTGAGATGAAATTCATTAAAGATAGTCTGTCTGAGTTCTCTTGTTTGTCAAGTTCAGTTTGTACTGTTCTCTCTTGAATAGAAAATAAAGTTACAAACATCTGAGTCTTGCTTGATGATCTTACAACTTGTTTGATAAGTGGAACCAAAGCTCTTTAAGATAGTATAAAAACTGGTCTTGTAGATCTTCTGTACTATCTTACTTATTCTCAGACTAACTTCTGCTTAGGCCAACCTCACATCTTCTATTAATTATTTAACTGATGTTGTTTCTTCTGATTTTTAAAGTGTTATAGAAATACTTTATTCTCTTTATACTTCTTTATCTGTAATGTCTTTTTCTGTGACTGTGTCTTCTGTTATAATCTTGTCTGTTATTATACCAAACATACCTGCAACTTCTGAGTCTTGCTTATCTATAACTAATTTGCCACTATTACAGTTATATCTTGAATGCTCTTGCAGTACATCTTCTTGCTGTTAAATTCTTGATTTTGTAGATATATTATAATCTTTATGTGTGTTTTGTGTTATATTTATCTTTCTTTCTGTATGTAGATTTGTTTGTCTTCTTGTAATTTTGTCTTTTCTTTAAGTAATTCTTAAGAGTTTCTTGTGCATTTATGAGATTTTCCTCAGATTCCCATATTAATTTCTTCATAGGAAA